ATATTTATGCACATAAGAAATGAAAAGGGTATATACCTGAGGGAGTCTAAATATATATGAACAAACTGGAATAGAGAGGGAGAGAGGGGAGGGGGAGAGAGAGGAGGAGGGGGAGAGATGGGTGGGGGAGAGAGGGGAGAATTTATGATCGAAAGCCCTAAGTGACCTCTAAATCATTACAGAAAGGACGAAAGTTTAGATGTGGTGAGAAAAATATTCATTAATATGACACCTGCGGGAGAGTCGTCATAAATATTGGGTAAATATAGTAGCCAGACATATGTAAAACGAACCCGATGCTGTCAAGGGGCAAAATAATGTGGGTCTGCTCACCGCGGAATTGAAATTTGAGCAGATGTTAATTGTAGAGCGCACCGCAAGTTAACATTCATAGAAAGGAAGAAAAAAAACACCTGACGATCACCCTATGTTGCCACATTCGAAACGTCTTAGGTTAAAGTTGTGTGCACTATTCAACACTCATATGAAGTAGATGAAAGTAAAATTTGATATGCCTAGGTGTGCTTTAGAATGTATTTTGCATCAAAGGGTTTATCTAGGGAAAACTTGTTAGCAGTCAGCCTTGTGGCTGAGATAATTACCTTGATCAATTTGTTTTTCTGTGCCATTTAGAAGCATTTACTTTAATTAATTTCCTCCTGAAATATCGCTTTTTATTGTAACAGAAGCTTCGACCTTTTCATTTGTTTTCTATTTTCCGTCAAATATTAAAAAAGGGTCATTATTAATTTTTAACTGTTCTAATATTTATTTCCGTTTTTTTATCGAAACTCAGTCAGTCATCAATTCGATTCATGACTGACTAAGCAGATGATTTTCCCGCAGTAGGTTGCTGTCTCTTTCTGCAGTAGACTGGTTGCCAACCAAGGCTATACGACCCAATCTATCTTGCTATTCAACCCATAATTGAGGTTAGAGGGAGAAGAAATTGATTCATATTATTCCCAAGGGTATTTGCGCGTAAGTGTAAGTAACGGTTCCGACTAGAATTCGAACTCGGCTAACCGATTTCTCTATCTGAGCCATTATCCATTAAACTACACTTCACATCGCAATTCAGAAGTTGTTATTCTTCAGCATGAATAGAAAATAAACTAAATAATCGAAATTAAAGTGTAAACCTCGGACAAGATTTGAATTCGTCTCCCCTGTAGAATTCTAATTCTACATCATTTCAAATAGCTGAAAATAACTTGTTCAATTTTGTGCAAAAGGTGGATCACAGAGCCTTGATATTTCTCTGACTCCTGATTGGTCAGTTAATACTAATATCGTGTTTTCAACTACGTTCAAATTGTATCCAACTAGATTCTGACCTGAACGCAAATACAATCCCGCCAAAAATCTGTCTACGTGCTTCGAGCCTATCACACGACATACAACATTATAAATACCAAGCGACATTTTCTACTCTTTCTCTTTTTCCTCTGTTTTTTTCTCAAAACCACAACTATGTAGTTCAGTGAGGAGTTTTACGTTTGTCCCTGATGGGAGGACGCTATGACCCGCACACACGTACGTGCGAACATTGAACATCTCTTAAATCATCAACTACAAGCAACAGAAACTTCTGAGACCAGATAAAAAAATATATCTTCCTTAATGTCTTAACCATTTCAAATAACAGTTAAAAGTGAATAACTCCTGCTATTAATTTCAACTCTTACTATATAAAAATCACACATTTGATTGTTTTGTATGTCATACAGTAAAATGAAGATTGTTTGTTATTATAAAAACAGTTTTGGTGTTGCTTTTTTTTGGGTGCTTTTCGTTTGCTGACACATTTGTAAAGTAAAAAAATGTACGGATTTAATTGAGGCGGTTCAATACCGCTACACCCGTTTCTGCTTGTCAACCTCTCTTTCCATGACAGTGATTTACAAGATTTAGATTTACTAACAAGCACTAAGGGTTACAAAGGACATGAAGTAATGGAGACCCATAATTATCCACGCCTTGAAGGAACACGACACATAGAAGAAGCAGACGTCGCTTCTGATTGCTATTTCGCGGCCATCTTGTTTGTTTTTCGTAGTATTAGATGTAACAGTCTATGAATTTTTATGAAGCATTTTCATTAGTATTAACTCCTTTCTTATATCATAAAAAATGTTGTCATATGTAAAAATTGATATTTTGTGAAATCTTTAGCGGTGTTACTCTTTCATGATTATTACCCGTGGTGCAATGGATAACGTCTCGGAATAAGAAATCGGCGAGCCGAGTTCGAATGACAGTCGAGTTCGCTACATTCACTTGCGCGCAAATAACCCTGGGCAAGGTATGAATCCGCCTCTTCTCGCGTAGCTATGGATTAAATAGTAGAAACCTTCACTCTTGGTTGACAGCCAGTCTAGAGGAAGGACAACTCTAAGTTCAAAACCGTATTTAGACCTGGCGAAGCACATTCTATGTAACTAAGGGTCGTGTATTTCACATTGACTCTATGATCTCGACTATGGCCAACTTCCTTGGTGGAGGAAATTTTATTAGCGGGAGGATGTATATTTAAGTGTGATATATAATATTGTGCAATTGGGAACATTATTTTATTGCCCTAGCAAACTAAATAGAAAATAGATAAAAAAAAAAGTCAATGTAGCTGTGTATAATGAGATGTCCTTATTTGTATGCACTGCGTGTTTAAAATCATATTGAAGATATTAAGTAATTTAAATTCGAGAAAAGTTACGTGTTCTTTCGGTAGATATATCAGCTTAGGACATTTGAATGCTGTGTTATTTTCAATGTTACACGTGGTTTGCTAAGAGGTTTATTGGAGGAGAAACGAGACACGTCTTCGACCTACGGAATCCTGTAGAAAGAAGAGATAGAAAAACATTGTGCCTTTTTCTTATACTGCTTTTTAGCAACGCCATCTAGTAGTCTCTAGCAGAAGTTCCTTGTCAAACAAATGGGGGTGGGTAAGTCTACATGTTTTTACGATTATTAAAAGGTTTTAACATGTGAGTTTTTAAATTATTTTTTCCAATACGTTTATTCTTTCGGGGATCCGTTTATTATTTAATAACAATAAAAATCCTTCCTTTATTTCATGTCCAGCAAAATATATTAATACTAGTTTAGTCATACTATCAAAAATGTCTGTCTTCTTGATATGCCCTAAAGTTTCAACTTAAGAGTTTTAGGAATATCTATGACAAAGTAGAAACAGTTTTCGTGTGACGCGTTTCGTTCATTAGGATTTCATCGGACGAAATTATGTGATTACACATGCGCATAAAGGAGAGGGGGCGCTGAAAATTTAAATTTATCTTTTTTTTTTAAATATGTGTTTTGTAAATTGATATATTGAAATTTTATATATCGTTTACCTTCATGTTAGTTTTTAAATATATTTTTCTAATTATAATTGTTGCAGCCTGCTCTTTCACGGAATAGGTATTTTCACTCTTCATCTTTGTAAACATCTTTCGCATAAGGAAAATAGTGCCACCTGGCATTGTCAGTTCAAGCGAGATTACTTTAGTATAGAGGTCCCCAAATGTTTTAGACCATCGACCACGTCATGGAATCCTTGGTTCCGAATCGTGTAAATCCGTAAACATGTACAAAAATATCAATAATTATTATTTCTTATTTAAGGGTAGAAATATTTTGACCTTTTTCATAAATTACTGTTTCTCGATAAGATTCATTTTAGCTGTACGTTTTATTTTATTCCGTTTGCATTTTCTATTTCCCTTTATCTAATAGTCATACTTGTTCAAGTAATAATAATAATAATAATAAAAATTATGTTAGCCTAAAATATAGATACTGTGATAAATATCCAGAAACAATTGATCATCTTGTATCAGGTTGTACGGTATTGGCACCCACTAAATATAAAACCTGACATGACAGAGTGGGCCAAAATCTGCACTGGAAAATCTGTAACTTCTACGGAAAGGAAACTGAAAGAAATTGGTATGAACATCACCCACACCCGGTTACGGAGAAAGAACCTGTTACAATTTTATGGGACTACACAATACACACAGACAGTACAATCAAAGCCAATCGCCCCGATATTGTTATTAGAGATCGCAAACAACAAAAAAAGGGCCTCCTTATTGATATGGCAGTCCCTGAAGACTGCAATGTATCTTTGAAGATCTTCAAAAAGCTATCAAAATACAAGGACCTTGAAATCAAAATCTAAAAAAACGTGGCACATGAGATCATCAACAATTTCTGTTGTAGTTGGAGCCCTCGGATTGACAAGGACTTATTTAAGGGATTCCTGGCAGTCCATGCCTTAAAGAAATAAAAAAAAATGATCTCAAGAGAACAGCCAACACCTTACAAAGAGCTTTATCTATGTAAAATATGTGCTTTTTTATTTTTTTAATTGCTTAGTGGAAAATGTCATGATGCCATTTTTGACCTTAGGTCTCAGGTCGAGACCTCGAAAGAAATGAGTACACACCAGAAATCAAAGGAAACAAAATAATAATTACGTAGTCAAGTGCGTGCATTTTATTAAGGCCCTCACAACGTATTTTAAAATCATCTCTGAATTTTTCCTGTTGTATACTTTTAGGTCACTATCTTATTTCATGACTGTCAAATCAAGGATATTAGTTTTGGGTCTAAATAGTTTAATCAGTCCCCCGGCATTTATTGACCATTTCTGACCCCCAAACGTTTATCGATTTATTTCGACCTCCCGGCATTTATCGAACTTCTGGATAGTTCCATCAACTTCTGAGAGGTTGAGATCGGCCACTTGTGTGAACCCTGCTCTAATACGACATAATTTTACAAAGATCATACTAAGAGAAAAAATTTTTCTGCTCAGTTTCCATCTTATTTCTGTTGCTTTTTAGCGCAATTCTCACGTCGTTATCTTACGAAGGTTAATTAAATAAATAACAACCCTTGGAATATTGTTACAACATGAAAAAGATTTGGACAAAATTACATTATTTGTTACAGAAGCCAAGTCGTTTCTTTCAGACAATCGCACTGAATCATGTACAAATGGTCCCTAAAAGAAGTTTCATTTTGTCACCAATGTCAATATCTTTTAATTTCCAGTCCAGGGCTGAGAAATCTGCCGTTTCAATTATCTCCTTTAACATATGCTCTTCTTTACCTTTCCTTAGTTTATCCCACCTGTAATGTAAAAGAAACGACTGTCATTTTATTTTTAATGAGCAGGTTTCGCCCGCTCGCTATCCCTTTGCAAAGATATACTCACAACTTGAAATCTTTGAAGCAAAAATTTTAAATGAACATTTCATTCGTAAATCGGTTGTAAACATGAAAGAAAGCATTTGTATTTATTCAGATAGCTAAACATTAAAATTTTAGCCATCTGTCTATATTTCTGAGATGAGGTATTATATACACTATCTACGTTATTCGGACTATTGTCCTCATCTTTGTCGCCATATTTATTACAACGTTTCGACCGTTGTACGCTCCGGCCTTCATCAGGTGGTTGAAAGTTCTCCATTGCCTTAAGGACACATGGCACAGTGGATAAAGGCGTTAGTTAGATCCAGTGACAGGACCCAAAGAGTGTGAGTTCAATACCCGGTTAAGGCAGTGGAGAACTTGGAGAGGGGAATTAACAGGAGATAACTGACAACTGATATCCATTAAACATGACACGTGGAACTAGAACAGTCTACCCCAGTGAGCGAAATAAAGGGTTCAGTTCGACATTCCAACCACCTGATGAAGGCCGGAGCGTATAACGGCCGAAACGTTGTAATAAATATGGCGAAAAGATGAATAAAGTTTTAGCCGTTATTTAAAACAAATAAAACATGGTGAAACTGAATAGCATTTAACAGATGTTGACAGAAATAAAATATATATGTATTTTTGCATGAATGAAAAACATAATGGTGAAAAATTTGAAATCAAAATGAATAATAGAAAACACACGCCAAAAAATGTTTTCGTTTGTAGTCCAGTGGAAATTAATATCAAGAAAAAAAAATATTAGACATTTAACTGGAAATTGTGAATGGATTTCTGATTAAAATTAATAGAAGAGGACAATCATCTATTCCAACTTGTTGAAGGCCAAGTAAAATGCAAATTTCGAACACTTTTCTGTGCTATATAAGACAATATTACTAAACAGAACTATTTTTGATATGAAAATCAAAACAAATCCTGGAATAAAAGAACGGTAATGAAGGACAGATAATTAATGAAATATACTTTTTTTAAAAAATCAATATGCAAATTAGTTAAACCTGAAAAATGATATTGCATGGAAGTTGAATACAGATACTGACATTTTAGTGCATAGTTTGTAACACTTATTAATCATCTCTCAGTTGCGTCTCCATCTTTGGACAGAGTGCGCTCAGGAGTGGTTCCGACAAAAGACAGAGTCGCAACTGAAGAAAATTATGCTGAGAGGGAATGGCTTCCCGAGGGCGCGCCCTCTCATTGCACTAGAGAGAGGGATTGGTGCTCGCACCGAGGCCAGCGCAACCGACGGCAATTTCTGTTCCGAGCTCGGAAGTATGTGCTCGGGTTCTCCACATTAAATCGAACTTGTGTCACAATGCGACTTCGTGCGTGTGTGTGTGGGGGGGGAGTAAATTCCAAATTACTATAAAGTAGAGTTGGGACTTTTTAACCTAAGAATTTGTGGGATAATTGTGCTCCGATTTCATATTTATTCATATAGGTATGTGGAACTGAATTGTACATGCGTTTATTTTAATATGTGTTGTCACCGTAATCATTCCAATTGTTTGTGTTTTATAAAGTACATTTGGTGCTCAGATTCGACTATATTAAGCTCGATATATAAAAGAACACACATAATGTTCGCTCGCCGTCCACATTGGCATCTTCACAGAATCTTCAAAATAATCTACTCCATATTGCTTTCACTCGTTTTTCGCCAAGTGCATAATATGCACACGCATCATTTCCTCGATTTCTCGGCAACGAATGACTAATTTCGTCTGCGTCTCAAGAAAGTGGAACTTGGAACATGTCCAGACATGCTCGGCTCCAGCGACACAATGCGTTCATTCCGGAAATTAAATTGTTATACCTCATAACTGTCATAATTTTATTTTATATGATTTGTGAATGAAGAAAAAAAATAAATCTTTTTTTTCTTTTTTTTTTTACTTAAACAAAATACTTAGAAATAATTGCGTTCCTGAAGAATTTTAACTCTTCTGCCTGAAGTCCCGAGTCCAAATTCGCAAATAGTTGGTATGTAATGTTTCACGGTAGATATAAAAATAATTACAAGTGTTTACCCACCGTTCAACCAGTCATTTTTCTCTATCACTGATCAATCGGTGGGTGGGCATTACGTCAATTTCTCTACCACCGGTAAAGCGGTAGTCAGGGCTCAAAGGATTAAACTTCTTCAACGCTATGCATACATTCTTAATATTCCTTTATACATCTACGGAATGCTTCAAATGAACTCATTACCCCCGAACCCAGTGAGGAGGATATGCTGATGACATAGATATTCATAGTTGGGTTAAGAATAATCTTGAACAGAAAATAAAGATCATTTATCAAGTTTTTCAAGACATAGTCATCAAAATAACCCTTTCCAAAATAGAAATTATGATCTGGAAATGGAATGAAAGCAGTGATGGCAATATGAATAAGTATAGAAAATGAAACTGAACATAGAATATACTGCTGAATAAGTTATGTTATGTTTTTAAGTGACTACATTTCTGAAAGGTATTCCGGTAAAAGAGTCCCAAGATTGTTTCCAGTGGTGACCCCATTGCTGCAAATTGCTGTAAAATCACAAAGAACTGTACCAAATAATAGAAACCACATTACTTGAGGACTACCAACAGCATCAACAACTAAAATGGATAGCACATGTAACTCGAAGCGAATAACCTTCTTGATAAATTTCAGAAAAAGGACAAAAACGGATGGTAAAGTGTCAACAGTTACTTAGAACAACCAAAGATAGTGGAGAACCATGATCGCACAGGCCGTGAAAGGATATGGTATGTAAAAGATGCAATAAAAAATAAAACTAGATAAAAGAATTGCTTCGAGTGAATATAAAGGACAAAGAAATAACAGAAAAATTCATGAGAGAAAGGAGGCATTGTGTTCTCTTGTAATCGTAATGGTTGGATAAGTTACCATCTGCCATAACGGTTTATGACAGTATATAACTTTCTATGTTTGTTTCTTTTTAGTGGGGAGAGTTGCATATGTTAGTGCGTTCCTTTGTACGTAGTCGCGCATGCCCAATTTGGTATCGTGTCCATAATTCTGAATCTGCCATTTTCTTTCTCTATTACACATCATAGTTGTTGATATAGTTTTTTTTTTCTTTTCACTCATTCTCTACAATCTCTTCCCGATTTAAATCTGCATTTCAAATTTCTGCAAAATGTGAGCTCTGTTTCTATGCAACTTATCTTCGAACGAAACCTTGTATTTTTTTTAAGAATTCATTTGTCTTCTTGCCATAATTCCAGTTCAAACAGTTTTTAAAGTGAGATTCGACACAAAGTCCATACTCTTGGTCATTTCAAAAAAGTTTTTATCGAAACAACATTGTGATTCAAAAGAATTAAAAGAAAATCCAGAAACGGACATTGCACTCGTCTAATCATTGATATTCAAGCAGGATCGTGTATTATAAACGATGTTTGATATAAGGCAATAATAAAATGAGAATCCAAAAACGAAAAAAAAAGCTTCAACAAAGGTTTTGCAAATAAATTTCTAACGTACTATAATGCTTATAAGATGAAAAAAAACCCACAAATCTTTCTTCCGAATTAAGAAAATAAAACCATTTTCAAAGTGATTGCCGTTTGCCGATATCACATCACCTACCTTTTAGTTTGCACTGAGCTGACCCTTTCCGTAAGCGCTGCTATTGCACAAAAGAGTTTGTAATCGATACAAGATTGCTCGCCAACTCCTGTCATCGTTCGAACGAACTCCATCTTCTCATCGCTTACGTGATTCACAGCAACGTCCCGAAGTGCCGTTTCCAAATCCTGTTAAAATAAACAGTCTCTTAATTCATGTTTCGAGAAGCAATAAACAAACGATTAACATGCTTGATAATTTAGACTAGTATCCTCATCTTTGTGGTTTGGATCATAATATTTCAGTCAATGAGCTTCTTAGTATTGCTTAAAGTTCTGAGTTGTAGCAGCTGTTATTTTCTAATATCTTCATCTTTGCTGTTTAGATAACTAATTATTAGCTGGTGTGCTTCTCGCTCTTTCCAAATATTTGGTGATTTTTTTTAAAGTTATGGCAAACATTTAGTCAAAACGTAATTACATAAGAAATAAAATTTGCTAAAATAAAATTTAAAAAAACAGATAACATTCAAAGATTACTGGATAAAACGTAAGTCTAAAGAAGGCCGGAGAATGTATCAGCAGAAACAGTAGTTTAAACACCAACTTTTTCTTTTTTATTTGTCGATTTGACGATGAATTGTTTTTGATAATTTTTGTACTTTGTTCTTGTTATGTTTTGGCTATCTCTCTGCGTAGTAGTAGTCGTAGTACAGTTCTCCGTATCCTGAATAGCAACCGGGTTTGCTAGGCATAGCCACCCTATGTTCGCTAGTTGTTCTCTATTTATACTTATCTATCTAATTTGCATACGATACTACAGTTCTTTTGACAATTCTTGTGTCAAAAAGTTACGATTCAAATGTAAGTGAAAAAGGTAGCATATTTCATACTTATTTTTGATATTTGAAATTTGTTTTCACTTTCAATAATGTTTTAACATAATTTTTTTTCCGATGTAGATGAAATCACCACTATGCCCAAATGTTATCATCCGGGCTAAATTAAACAATGTCCTCCAAATTCGTGACCAAACAGCGGCTATTCCCTCTATAATTCTTTTCCATTTGAACCATACTCTACTCAAAATTCTGAAACCCTATCTCAGTTTTCTCGCCAGGTTGACTTACCTTAAAGTTAATTCTCATCATCTGAGGACATTGATATTTCCGAAAAACCTTTTGGTAAAGACTTTGGAACTGTGGTGTGACAATACAGTAACGTCGTAAGTAATCCTCGGGCATCATATCTGTTATAGAAATACAATTTTCCTGGTTTACTTCATAGACAGACATTGATCATTGATCATTGTTAACCACTAGCATAGTACCCATCAAAAATGTGTAGAGTGTAGTATCTGTGTGCTTTGTAGTATATGTATGTATTTTGCCATTTTATATGTACCATAATTCATTTTTTTTGCTTTTTATCGCAACTATCCAGGCCGCCAGTTTACGGCTAGTAGTAAACAACTTGGCACTTAAATTAAACATAAAGACAAGGCGAAACTCGCGTCTTCTTTAATTTAGAAAGCTTCTCTATGAACGATGGTTGCTTTGCCGTTTGAGCTTCTGGGATCAGCGTTTGCAGAAGATCAAATTTAACCGAATAAACCCACTCTCTATAATAGGTATCTCCACTAATTCGGTATAGGTAAGATTAAAAAAAAATTTTTTTGAAACTTTCATTTTAGCTTTCACTGAAAGCTAAAGGATTAGAATTTACTATTTTCAGTTTTTAAACTTTATAAAATATTCAATTTAAAATTGTAAAAAATGAAATCAAATCGTGTAAAAATTCATTTTTCATCGAAATCTTTTTTTCTTCAGACAATATTGTCTTTAATATATATTATTCATAAACGAAATTAAAAGCTTCTCTACTGTCTTAGTTTTATTGCTTTTTTTATTTTTCGATTCAGATCAGAATTTCGGTAAAATGGGGTCCGATTTTGCAATAAGAATTCGATGATTTAAATTCTGCTTTTAACTAATATAGTCACTAAAAATGATCACGTTGAATTTCTCAATTTTTTCGTAAAATTAATTAAGTGGATGAAACACCAAGATTTTCCAATAAAATAAATTTAAAAAATAATTTCATTTTTGGGGGAATAAGTTCTGAAAACTTAATTAAAATCCGACAATTATTTGATTTTTGCAAAAATTTCCAAATTAATTTGTCTGTCACCGCAAGAAAGAGGCCAAAATTTTCTATGCTAAAAGTACATCCGCTGACGTAAGAAAAACAAATTTTTAAATCAAAATTTTCTAATATTCTAAAAAGAAGTAAACAATTTCAATGAATATTCAAAAAATACTTGCCTCATATCGCATAACCGGCTCCCTTAATTGGGGTGTAAGCCCCAAGCAATCAGTGATTTCAAAACTGTGTCTTTTGTGGAATAACAAATTTTGTAGATACGCTTGTTGATCACAAAGACTAACATAGCTCTTTTTTCAATATTCCTTAATTCATCGCAGTTGGCTACCCCCACCCACACCTTTTTAATAAGATGGCCGTACTGTTGGGCCCTCTCAATGAATGTAACTTTCATTATGCATTTCAGAGGGATGTTCCAGTGTGGTGGCAATACCCAAGAGTCTTCCTCTTAATAATAACATAAAGATTTTAACGATAAAACTATACTTTCATTACGTTTGGAGTATGTTTTCGTCACGGTATGCTAATTTTTTTAGCGATTTCGTGGCGTTATCTACGATATAATTACCAATATTGAACACTGACATTTACTAAACTTGGCTCTATGTGGCGTAAGGAAGATTTGATTACATCCGTCTTCCAAGTATGGTGCGTCTGTTTGCCTACAAAATCAACATTCGATAGTCTAGTTTTTACCTTCACTTGATCTCGAACATTGATGATGAACAACGTAATTATATCATCCAACAAATCGTCACAGCTGGCATTTATTAGTAAACTAACCGGATGTCGGGTGGACTTTAGGCTGAGGTGGCAGTGGGTAACTTGCAAGACACAACCTTGTTGCTGTTGTTGTTACGCTTGTGGAGATTAATTCCTTCTCCGCCTCGGCAAACGTGCATTCAAGTAAAAAAGAATGCATTTGAGTATGGGCAAATAAATATATAATTTATAACCTACATATCAAACTAGTAACTTCTATCTAAGGCAACAGGGAGAAAGAATGATGAAATTAGACATTACTGATGACTGTGGTTGTTTCTCTCTCAGCGCATCGGTGTTGACATGAAGGCCGGTTTGTGCCGCGTCTCTCTGCCTACCGGTGTTGACGGCCAAGTTTGCCTATATTGAGTTTGTTTTAATTAGAGAATATATAGCCGTCATTTAGATCCAGATTAAGATTTTGGTTTTTGGAGCAAGAGTGGCTCTGACTGGTCAATAAATTGTTCATTTTATTTTGGCTGAAGCGGATGTATGCGTGGAGCTTATGCGCACCAAACGTATTTACGCAGTCTCCTTTGGGTCGTCGAGCGGTCAACGTTCGATTTGTGTAGAAAAATGTAAGAAACACAATAAATCCTTATCTTTTCACAAACTGTAATTTTTCGATGGTAATCCTTTTTATCAGAAATTTGTTATCCTGCCTTAATTGGCGCACAAAAGGAAATTTTTGTGCAAACTTTGTATTTGTACTTTTTTCGTACTTGTGTAATAAATGTTTTTCCTTTAAAATTTTACACTGTGGTTAAGTCTTTTTAAAATTATTTTGACTCTATTATGACTTGATATTCTTACTAACTAGTTTTTCTTTTATCTGTTGCTGTTGCTAAGGCAACAGGGAGAGAGAATGGTGAAATTAGAGACATTACCGATGGTTGCCGTTGTTATTTCTCTCACCGCGGTTTATGTTGCGTCTCTCAGCTTGTCGGTGTTTACGTCGAAGTTGGTCTACGTTGAGTTTGTTTTAATTAAAGAATATATAGCCATTGTTTATCTTCGAATTAAAGTTTGGGTTTTTGGAAAAAGAATGGTTCTGACTGGTTAATAAACTGTTCGTTTTATTTTGGTTAAAGCGGGTGTATGCGTGGAGCATATACACAGAAAATGTATTTACGCAGTTTGCTTTGGATTGTCAAGCGGTCAACATCCGGTTTGTTTTGAAAAATGTAAGAGGCACGATAAGCCTGCGGAGAGCTTTTGGGTTTTGGGCTTTTTACCTTCATCGTCCTATATACGTAAAAGTTATAAGAATTTAAGAATAATAAAATTACTTTATCTTTATTCGACACCTTAATTCGGCATAATCTTTCTTCGTATGCGCAACCGATCTTCGTAGTTTGTTAATATTTATTTTGCGCGCAATATTTATTTTCTTTTAAAATCACCATTCTTTATGATCCCTTCACTCTTAAAAGGCATTAGGGAACCTGAACTATATAATATTTCAAATAAACAGAACACATGCTAAAAAAAGAAAAAAGAAGACAAATGAACAACGTACCGTGCCCCGCTTAAGTTTTAATTACGGTTGAATTAGACAATATCAATAGCAAAGAATTGTTTTTAAACCTTTCACGTTGTTCGATATTTAAATTTAACTTTAAATGAATTATTTATTTAATTTTTAATAGTGTGTAACTACTTCAGGTTGTTTATGATTCGCAAAGATCGAAAAACGGACGGAGGGACGGACACACGTACACTGTGCTTTATTTATATATACATATTTTTAAGTGTTTCGCCCCAAGTAAGGCGGGAAGCCTCTAGCACGCAAGAGGTTACAGAGAGTTGGAGCGAGAGCAAAGAGGAGTGATAGAGAAAAGGATGAAGAGAAGAATACGGGATAGATCAAGGCATCTGGAGACGTCGATTGACATTACATTTGAATAATTGGAGATTATAGTTCTCGGGGAAACAAGAAAAGGGTAGGGTGTTCCACATGCGAGAAGTTCTAGACATGAAGCTATTGGAGTAGAAGAGACGGCTACACTTAATGGCCCCGACAGTGAAAGGGTGAGAGCGAGATGCCAGCCTAGTTGAACGCTTAAATTCATGAAGTCTGGGAACCAGCGAAAGCAGCTCATCGGAGCAGTTACCATGAAAGTATTTGTAAAAAAGACAGAGGCGGGCGACGGCACGTCTGTGAGAGGGCGACTGTAGACGAGATGCCATATCAGGGCCAATTACGTTACATATCCGTCTCTGAATTTTATCAAGGACCTTGAGACAAACAGAAGGGACTCCAGACCATATATGGCAGCAATACCCCATGTAAGGGCGAATGGTTAATTTGTAGATTTGAAGGATCGACTCTGGCGAGAAAAAAATCCTGGCGCAGCACAGGGAGCCAACTTTCTTTGCGGTGGACGAAGCTATTGACTCAATGTATTTGTTCCACCTCAGGTCATCGGATAATGTGAGACCAAGCAGTCGCAAAGAGGTGCTCTCGTGGAGTTGAGCGTCAGATATTCTAATGGGAGGCAGGGATGCTTCTCTATGGTGAGTAATACAGAGCAGTTTTGTTTTTGAGGCATTAAAGTTAACCAGCCAATTCCTGCTACAGAAGATTTAATAGAAATAAGTTAGATTTGAAAACAGAATAATATTTACAAATTTCAAATCGAAAAAAAACATCGAAAAATAAGAAAATTGTGTTGCACTAATCATCTAAGGGGCATCTACTTTGTCTGTCAACAAAAATGTTAATTCAGATTGCTTGGATGAGGCAATGTCAAATATAAATTAATATTTGACTGATTTTTCATTCCTTTTATTTCTCTTGCTTGTTTACACAAATTATTAATATGTCATTCTTTTTGTAATCATTTCACCCCAAGTAAGGCAATAAAGCCATTACAACGCAAGGGGTTACTAAGTGTAAGAGAATATGATAAAATATTCTATTAAGGAGAAAGGACAATGAAAGGACAAGAATTAAGGTAACGGAAGATAACTATTGAGATTACATTTAAATTTCTGAATAACAAATTTGTCTGGGAAGCAAGAAGCCGGAAGAGAGTTCCACAAGCGAGAAAGGCGATAGAAGAAACTGTTAGCATAGAACTTACGGTTATATCTATACATTTCCACTGTAAAATGAGAAGACCTTTCCGCTAATCTAATACTGCGTTTAAATTCATAAAGTCTAGGTACCATAGTGGAAGATTCATCAGAAAAATTACAGAAAAGCCACAGGGAAGCAGTGGAAAAAGTGACTGAAGTCGAAATGCCAGGTGAGGATCAATAACATTGCAGATCATTCTTTTTATTTTATCAAGAATTCCTAAATGTATATCAGGAGCACCAAACCAGTTGTGGCAGCAATATTTAAAGCATGAATGAATTGTAGACTTAGAAACTTATAAATATATAACAGATTCTGGCGAGCAAAATTGTCTAGCTCGTCACAGTGAATCAACTTTCTTAGCTGCACTTGAGTTAATATAATCTTTCCACTTCATGTCAGCGGAAAATGTTAATCCGAGAAGGCACAATAAGTCACTTTCTTGGAGGTTAGCGTCAGCCATATGCTGATAGAAGCTAAAAATGTTTTTCTTAAATGATTAAAAGAGAGAAGTTTCGTTTTGTGGGTGTTAAAATTAACAAGCCAACTGATAACATTGGGATAATTTGGAACAACATAAGGAGAGAGCCCTGGGGGACACATTAATGCAAAAAGATTTAGAAGAGTAACCGTTTAAGATAACTTTCATATTGCGAGTGTATAAGAGAGATTGAATCAGACCCAAAATTCGTCTAGAAATGCCATAACCTTTCAAACTGTGAAGAAAACCAGCCTTGTCCAACCTATTAAACACCTTCGAGATATCCAAAGTAAAAGCCCTAGCTTCACCATTCTTATCTAAAACTTGAAAGACTATTTCAGCAATAATCATTAATACATCAGCAGTTGACCCAGAGAAACAAAAGCTATATTGCTTGTCTGAAAGAAGACCCTGCAAGGTAGATGCTTAACCAATTCAGAGTTGATTAGAGTGTCTAGTACATTGCCAAAAAGAGGTAGACGCCGATAGAAGGATCAGACGGTTCACCTGAGTTCTTAAGGACTGGAACTACAGAAGAGGATTTCCAACAAGCAAGAAAGCAAAAACTAGCAAAGTATTGATTGTAGATCTTAGCGAGAACTGAAGACTGTTCAGGAGCACATTTTTTAAGTACTATTACAGAGATACCATCAAGTACACATGTTTTGTGGAAATCCAGTTTAGAGGTGATAGCAGAAACGATAGACGGAGTTATATGCATATCACACAGTAGAAATATATGTTTTAAACTTGAACTTCAGCCATTGCATCCAAAAACCCAAATTCCATAAACGGTACAATTTAGCGCAAATTTTTCAAATTGCTTACTTTCCAAGATTCGTCCATCAATCGGTAACTCGAAACGACAAGCATGCAGGGAAATGTCCAATTGTCTTTGCAGCCACGAATAAAGCTTATTATTCTGAAAGGAAAAATACAATACTACAATGTTTGAAATGTATTTATGCGGACAAGATTAAAAATACTTAAAATATCAATGAGGTACATTTTCTTTTTTTTTTTTCAAGAAAATAATCATAATCAGAAACAATGAGTGAATTAGCATCATTAAATACGTCTAGCAAGCCATTATCTGTTGTACTGAGTTCGATCGTCACTGGCGTTTTATTATTTTCACCTTCTACCAGACGAAGGAAAGTTCAGCAAATATCTCTTAGCAAAATTACATTATGAAAATAAAAATTTTATTTCTATAATGAGAGATTCGAAACGAAAAGAAACATTGTGCTGAATTGATTGTTTTTTAGGATTCTTCTACCACTTTTTTTTTATCAATATCAATTTTTTGTGCAAATCACAGAGCTTATCCAGCTTATCTACTTCTAATTGGTTAGTTAATATTTAAATCATGTTCTCAACTACGTCCAAATAACATCGACCTAGTTCTTGACCTGACAAAAAACATTCCGCCAAATTCTGTCTATGCCTCTCGGAGCCGATCACGTGATTACATTAATTATAAATACCAGGCAAGAGTTCGTTTTTCCTCTCTTGATTTCTCTCGCTACCAAAATTTAGTTGTTAAAGAAATCACGTTCCGATCCCAGTTCAGGCGGACGCTATGAAAAAATATTCGCACACATATACGTACGTACGAAACCTAATTACGAACACTATATAACATTACAAGCAACGGAAACTTAATTATAAACATTACGGAACATTCACTCCTTCACCTCTTCTGAAGCTAAAAGTTTATCAACATATTTTCAGCTTTACAGAATTCTTTCAACTCTCTCACAGTGAACATTTTGAGTGGCACGTTCATTCAACTTTTATGAGCTGAGATAAAAAATATTTCATTAGTAAAGACTTTAATTCCAGTCGAATGGAATTAACTCCTATTAATTATTCATGTATATCATTTGACATGCATAAAATATAAATCTTGTTGTTATAAAACCGTTTTGTGTTCCTTATCGTTTCATATTTTGTGGAATTTTGCGTTAAATATAAATTCGAGAGGTCATTTAATGCCGAAATTCAATTCAATCGAGAACAGGCTTCTACAGATTATTTACTTGTTACCATTAAATAAATGTCACTTTTGTCGACACTTCCGAAATTTCTGGGTTATAGGAGCAACTAACCAAACACCCAAGCACGACCAATCATACGGTGCTTAGAAAGACATTGCCAAGTAACTTCCTTTTGCTCTGTGTAATATTATGAAGACCAAAGGTCCAGCATGGCATCCAAGCAACCTATGAGTTATAAGGCCAACTAAGCAACCATACAGCTTAGTCACAACTATGTCATACCAAACACCTAGAGTGTTGTTTAGAAATTAATATCGTATTATTGGAAAGGGAATAAAACCTGTTTAGGTACAAAGGAATATAACATTTTTGTAGACCGCTAATAATGGCCACTCGTATTCGAGGATACCCATCTACTAGGTCGGCTAGACTCTCACTCAGGCACATTTATGTTTGTTCAACATCCACAGAGCCAGTCTGTGGTTTATACTGCAACTTACCGAGAGCGTGTTACCTAGAATGTTCAACAACCTGAACATCAGCACACTCAAACCCTCGGTCACAATGACATGATTTCGTGATAGCTCATCTGTCGACGGCCCTTAGTGTTCCGTCTACCCAATTTCACTCACAAGGCTTGTCAGCCAGTGCTATGGTTTTCAGGCACTTTCCATCTTGAGTTCGCCATGTTTGCTGTGGGAATTTCAGGAGACACGTGTTTATCTCTCAACGCAAATACCAGCTCACAACACTCTTAAGTATGCCGCGAAATATTGTCACGGTATACATATGTGTGTGTGTGTGTGTGTAAGTAAAAATGGTAAAGTGTTAGTATTTGAATAAATGAATAAATATTAAACTTTTTTTTCCAAATAATTATTTCTCCTATTCTTCGATTATATTATTTTAAATACTTTGTTTTAATATTCATTTTTTGATAAGTATTTTTAATTTTTTTAATTTAACTTTTTAAAATTTTCCTTTAGTTGAATAAATGAATTAACCTTTCTTCTTATAACTGCATTCAACATTCTTTGTTTAATTCAAAATTTATGGTTTTATTTTATAGGGTTTAAATGTATACCCCTTAAACATTTAGCTAAGTTTGCCGTGATATTTTCACTTGCTCCAAGGTGTGCCGTTGCTTAAAAAGGTTGAAAAATATAATATGCAAAACTATGAAATGCAGAGAAATTTCAATTACATTGGTGTTATTTTCCTTATTCGGTTGTCCGAAATAACTGAACATACTTTTTGGCGGGTTTTTGTTCGTATCTGGGGTCTGAAATAAGAAAAAGTACAAATGAAAATTTCTCGAAAAATGTAAATAAATAAAATAAAATAAGAAACACAAATATCAGTTTTCAACAGCAGCAGTAGTGAAAACATGAGAGGCAGCACTAATCGGCAGGACGGTTATGTTTAAGGCTCCAAGTTCACCACAACGGAAACATTGTGAATATAACAACAAAGATGAGGACAATAGTCCGAATATAAACAGTGTAAATAAATAAAGTAAAATAACAAAGAAAAAAAGATAACAGCAGTGAATAATAAAAAAAAAATCCATCGAATAAATAAATAAAGAATTAAAACCCTCTTGGATATCGGTCCTTTGCTATACCACTGAGCTACTGATGCTGAAGGATTTAACTGTAGTTATTAGCTATTGTAATTTTCACAAGTAAGAAGTTGAAAATTAATCTGGGATCATATTTTGGGCCAGCGCGCGAGTCTCGCCTCTACCCGAAACTTTGATACGCCTCCCATCTCTACTACACGTCGATTTCAAAGTTTCCCAACCTGGGGGCTACAAACCCTCAAAGAAAAATTAGGAGAAGGGAAGCGTTTTTTTTTTGTTTGTTTTTTTTTTTTTTAATTACCAAAAATCATGGAATTATCAAATGTAAATGAAAATTTCAGTACATATTCATTATGTACTTTTATAATGAATAGATTTGTTTTTTTTATTATTTTAAAAAACTAATAAAATATTAATCTTTTTGTAATAAACACCAATATTTTTATGACTAAATTTTACTCAAAAAATGTTTAAGTCGTAAAATTTACATTTCCATAAAGATTAATCGCATCTCCGCTGATAAAAAAAAAAGTTTTACAAAGATTCCAACACAACACAAACGGGATTGACTTAAAAATTTGCTTTAAAACAGTATTCCAGTTTTCGGGAAAATTTTTCATGTGTTGAAATCTTTAAACATTTTTATTTTTTAAGCGATCATTTTCTCGGTTTTATCTTTCTAGAAACGTAAAAAATAGGGACTAGAAATTTTATTTTAATTACTAACCGTAAACTTTTAGTTAGTATTACTATTAGTAAAAAAAAAAAAAAAGAGATCCTTCTTTGTGGATGATCTCGGAACAAAAAATGATTGTATAGATATATATATATATATTAGACTCTAAATTGATTTAAAAGAACTCTTCAGAAATAAAATTACAATTTAAAAAAAAATAAGCGCTACCGAAATTAGCATTTCAGGCCCCCTACCCCGACTTCCCCAGTAGGCATGGGGCCGCCACTCGGTTGAGAAGTTCGGGGTAGTAAGCAACGACCCTGTCGATTATTATAGTTGATGATTGACTATAACTTAGGTAGAAAAAAAGTAAAAAGTACAAAATGCTTAAAAAAGGCCGCTAAAACTAGGCTTGAGGGGGGGGGCTTCATCCTCGTTGGGAGAGTCCCTGAGTAGTACGCACCGCAACGGCCATGCAGATACACGATGTATTTTATTAGTAGTTAAATAGTTTTTAAAAAATGGCGGATGCCCATAAAACAGTGCTGAAAAATGGCAGAGGCTACAACAGGACCCAAAAACGACACCCCACTCCCCACCCCCGCCGGGTGTCATGGGTAAAACGCGCCGGCACAGATTATATTCCTTTATTTTATTTTTATTGAAACCTGATCAGTTTCGCATATTGTAGAAACTTACGTTTTCAGGTTGTTGTTTAGACAGCAAGAACATCTTTTGCTTGTTCGTATTTCGTGTCATCGGTGTCGGGGGCTTTGGTTGATAGCGAGGAAGTGAAGGTGGTTTCATTTCAATCTTGATTTCAACGTTCTCTTCATTGCTGGTAAAAACAAACATTGACCAAATAAAAAAAATATATATATAATGATATTTTCTATTTTATCCACAACAGTGACAAATCGAAAACTTAAAGAACTCTTTACGTAGAGATACATGGAGAATATACATCCTCTTTTCCTCTCTCAAACTGTTGGACTACAAAAGAGATTAACTTTAAAATCAAAGGGTTAATATAGGTACCTTCACGAGAGCGAGTAAAATAACAAATTTTCAGCAGGTTTTTTTTTTTTTTTGTCTGACAAACATTAATTTGGAAAATCTTGCAAAAATAAAAATAATTGTCGGATGTTAATGAAACTTTCAGAAACTATTCACAAATGATGGAAATTATTGTTTTTTTAAAGTCAAGGAAAAAATATTTTTTTATATTTATTACTCCCCCCACCCCTTCCACACCATAACTAATTTTATGAAAACTCTAGAAATTCACTCGCAGGAAAGGAAATCATGTATTTTTTAATTGAACTCCCTCACCTGAAAATCAGCTCTGAATTGTAACATACAAAACTCAATAAAACAAAGATATTATTTAATTTCAAATGCTTTTATTTGCTTTTAGTTGTTTTTATGAATATGGACAATATTTTCTGAAAACAAAATATTTTTTCGATAAAAATTGAATTTTTAATGCAATTACTGTTATTTCTTTAATTATAATAGATTTTTACATTTAAGTTGTTAAAATATTATAAAATTAGTTAAAAGCCTCACCCAGTCCTTATGACATAGATCTTTTTTTACCACATTGTAAATTGTATCGTTTTGACTAATCAGAAGACCCGCAGTAATTAAGAAATGTAATTTTGTGTTTATAATCGGGCTGTAATTATAAAGTACGGAAGACCAACCAGAATACAATTAAGTTGCGTTATTTGAGTTAAGCATTGTTCTCCGCTGTTAAGGCCTTTACTTTTGCGAAACACGTGTGGAGAAATTAATTTGGTTTTTCAATTTCAACTGAGAAGGATACCTGCAGGTATCAGTATCATCTTAGGAAATTCATATGATCTTATTTTTATATTAATCTCAGTTATGACATTTTTCCATAAATGAAATATCAAAATTATTAATAAAATGAATGGAAATACAGATAACACAGTAAAATGTAATAAATGTACATAAAATTATAGTATTTTATGTGCACTTCTGATAAAATTTTATAAGAAAGGTACCGATAAATTAATTAGATACCTTTCTTATGAAATATGAAATTTAATCTCACTCTCAACAGTCTTATTTTAATTTCTTTATAATATATTTTCCATAAAGCATCGTAAACGTAAAGGTGAAAGCTAAGTACAAAAAAAAATTAGGGCGCTGAAAGTTTTCCTTAAAAATAACGAGGTAAATAATTTGTTCACTTAAATCCAAACAATTTCACTTCTCTCCTTCCGTAGAACAAATTATCCTCAAGTAATCCGTCAATAGGTCATTCATCACCTGTCAAATGACGCGAAATGTTATGACCAGCTTTGTTTAATTTTCAAACTACACCTTTTCGGCGCAGAAACTAAATAATGCTGGTTTCAAATTTTTTTAAATAAACATTATAATTACTGATTTTCTTGAAATAAGTTTTGAAAAAATTATAATTGATTTTTAAAAGAATTTCAAACTGAGATTTTCATTTTTTTTATAAAATGGAAAAAATAATTGACATGATTGATTATTTGTCAATTTTGCTGTCTAAAAAAAACAAGATTTTAACGAAAATTTCGGACGAGCTGGGAACGATTAAACAATGTAAAAAAAATACCCCCAAAATACTTTGATCTTTCCTCTTAATAATAAGATAAACATTTAGACGATAAAATTTTGTTTTCGTCAAGTTTGGCGTCTTTTTCATCATTTTATGGACTTTTTTAGCGATCTCATGGAGGTACCTAGGTTAATACTAACGTCAATACTAGCAGAAAAGTAATTTGTCTGCTCTGATTTTTTTCCTTTACGAAACTTAGGAAAATGAGGGGGGTAACCAAGGGGCCAGCCCCTTCTTTCCCCACTCTCCGTAGAATCGCCACTGATAAAAAAACAAAGCTGAATTAAACGCACGAAGCAGATCATTTTTAATGGATTTTCCAGATAATTTTTGCTTAATTTATAATAAAAAAAACAACCCAGACATCATCAACAGAATTTTTTAATTTATTTTTATTAAACGGACTTTGTCATGAAAGTCCTTGAACATGCCATTGTCGAGTACTTTTTATGGTATGGAGTTCCATTTCTCCATGAAAAAGAGTCTTGCAAATTTGAACAAATAAACGTTAATGAATACTGGGAGAAGATTCCCTTGCCTGTAGAACGGGCTATTTCGCACTTTTTCGGGATTTTCGAATGTTTCGCTGATGTCTACATCGTTTACATGACCAACAAAATCTATCTACAATATTCAAACCACAACGTTTTTGAAAACTCATTTCAATGTTGCAATCTTTGTATTTTGATAACTTGAATTTTTTCAACACCCTGACGCGTATTGAAGTCCTCACACTATTTAGTATTGTTGAAAGTAACCTGTGACCTGATGATCTTTATTTAATTTTTATATTATATATATATATATATATATATATATATATATATATATGTACGTATATGCGTGTGTGTGTGAGAGAGAGCAGATATGTAGAGTTTCTTACCCGTTTTTCTCGGGAATATTCGACAAATCTTCATCAGACGCTGCATATTCTTCGTTTCCTTCCTTCGCAATCCTTTCCGGAATCCTCTGCTTTCTCTCTTTTTTAACAATTCCTTTCTGACTTGAAGTGTTTTTGTATGGGAGACTATCCTCTCTATCTGAGTCTGTAAATTCCTCATCGGATACCGTCTATTATAAAGATATCACACTTTAAGTTAAAGAAATATAATACAATCTCTACCAAAATAGTCTGCGTGTGTGTGTGTGTGTGTGTGTGTGTGTGTGTGTGAGTGAGAGAGAGAGAGAGAGAGATGTGGGAAGGGAGGGGTGGCCGAATTTCTCAACAAACATTCATCTGTTTACTACAGGCATACCATTATCCAGAAAGATACCAAGTTCTGAAGAACAGAATAATTATTTGAAGCAGCCTCAAAGATGGTGAAAGATAATGGAACAAAATGACACATATGCGGACGAATAAAACTATCTGAAAATATATATAAATGTGGACTTTGAAATTCAAATAAAACACGCTACGAATTTTGTTACGATTCAAGATAAATAGAACAGACTGAGATATTGAAGTACTAAGATAACTAGCTAACTAATTAGAAAGAAAGAAAGAAAGAAAGAAAGAAAGAAAGAAAGAAAGAAAGCAAGGGCAGGCTGAGATATTCAAATACTGAGATAGATAGATAGATAGATAGATAGATAGATAGATAGATAGATAGATAGATAGATAGAAAAAAAGAACAGGTTGAGATATTACAATACTAAGAAAGAAAGGACAGGCTAGGCTATTCAAATACCGAGATAGATAGATAGATAGATAGATAGATAGATAAAGAAAGAAAGAAAGAAGGATGTAGAGAGGCAGACCGACAATTTTATCAAATCACCTGTGAATCTTTGTCTTTTTCTTTTGATTCCGATTTGCTTTTTTTTTCTTTCGATGACTTTGGGCGAATCTTTTTCTTTCGACTTTTTGAATGTCCGACTAACAAATAGAAAAAAACAAAACAAAAAGAGCATTAGTTTTTTTTTTTTTTTTTTAATAATTGAGAAAATATTTACAACACTCAGACTCGCGTCTATGTCACTGTGTCACAATATTACTACGAACAAATACAAGATGACGATTTACTGCTTATACTCGATTATGAGTCGATTTCGTCAATGGATCGATCATTGATTCAAAGACAAGAGAACATTCATTTTATGCCTTATGTGTATTTTAACCTTTCCTTTCGTTTAGACATGTATGTATTCGTTGAATTTACCAAATATATATGGGAGCTTTAAAGTTTAATAGTACCTGCCGTAGTTACAGATATTTAATTACAATGATTAAACTTAAACATAAAAAAACAATGACGACTATGGAAAAGTTGGATGAACGTAAATGATGGTTTTATTTTAGAGAAAGAGAACAAAGTGTAGAAATGTATTACATGCCTTCTCTCCGACTCTGTAAAAGAAGGCTAGCGAATATTACAAATGTCTGTCCTTACTTACATATCCAGCACATCGGGGAAGCATCATCTTCTATTTTTGGCGTCTACCCCCAAACTGGTCTCTGTACAGAGTAGCGTGTAACGTTAAAGTTCACATCTCCGGGAAAACGCGATGCATACTAACAAGGGAAGAAGTTAACCCAACATATGTCTCGTTGATACCTTGATCTCGGGTCTAGAAAGTTATTAATCTATGATATGCATCGTGTATTGGTCAACCCTAGTCTTTCAGTCTAACCAGGAAATTTGGCTAAATATATTGCATAGATCGTGAAACAGTTCGCGAAATTCTTCCTAAATCCTGTGTTACATTCTCCAAAATGAAGATCACTGAACGTAAAACAACTGACATTAAATGTTTACCATTTATTATGTTGGCACTTGACGAACAATATTAGGGCCATATCGTGTTGAAACACCGAAGTTAAGCAACGTCAAGCCTGGTTAGTACCTTGATGGTTGGAGCTTGGGAATATCAGGTGCTGTAAATTTGGATATGCGCGCAGTGTAATGGATAATATCTCGAAATTGTTAATGGGAAAGAAGAATCCAATTCCCGTTTGGTTCATTATATTCACTTACGCGAAAATACCCTTGGGAAAGGTATGAATCCAACTCACCCCTCCATCTGTGGGTTAATTAGTAATACTTGTTTCATTAAATCATTATTATATCAAAAAAAGATTCTTACAATATAAAAATATATTTTTTGTTTAAATAACCTACAAAGGGTTGATAAGCCGTAAAAAATGAATCAATCAAATCAATCGACACTGAAATGTTGAAAGTTTTGGTCAAAATGCTTTATGTTCCATGAAAATACTTACAGAAGTTCATTTGGATAAAATATTTAAATTTTTAACTGACAAATATTTTTAATGAGAAACTCTGATGGTTTTTGACAAACAAGAAATACTTTGTTAATTTTGTATGTAATTTTTTTATATATATATATATATATATATATATATATATATATATATATATGTGTGTGTGTGTGTGTGTGTGTGTGGGTTACAAAACTTAAACCAAAATTACCCCATTCAGATGGCCATTTCATTTCCGGAAGATCCTCACTGGGACTTGTCAATGCAAATACATTTGTAAAAGAAATGAATTCTAACGTTTTTTAAGAAATTTGAAAGATAAAAATTAAGGAAGGAAAGAAGAGTTAATAAGTTAAATTTAGGTCTCTGTTTATCTCCAACTGTCTTTTTTTCTGTCTAGACTTGTTCCGGTCACTCCCACCCTAAACACCTTAGTTTCTTTGTCTCTCTATCTCTGTATAAATCCCTTTACATTTGTATGTTGTTTGTTCCTCTTTTTTCTTTCTCTTCCTTTTTTTTCTTTCTTTCCTTCCTTAATTTTTTTTTCAAATTTCTTTAAAAAGGATTTTAATTCAGATTCATCCATCTCTTAGTCTAACCCACCCTACTATTTAACCTATAGATGGGAGAGAAGAGATTGATTCAAATATTTCCTAAGGATATTGGCGCGAAATTGAATATAATAATCACGAACTTGATATGCCGATGTCGCGTTCTGAAATTGTTCATTATTAAAATGCCTGATGTTCTTAAGTTTTTCTTGATGAATGAACCAGTGTCAGTGAAAGATGTCAGAAATATCGACGTAATTATTGCTTATTCATGAGATTTGATACGTGATGAATATTTAATTATTATTTGAAGGGATTTTCAGAAAATGAGAATATAAGAGCGCCATATTAAATCTGATCAACTAAAGCCCATGATTACCTGACTTTCTTTTCGTGTCATTGGTGTCGCTGTCATCTGCAAATAAATAAATAAATAAAAAAGGGTAATTTTTATTACTCACAAAATACATAGCATAGTTTTCTCTTATGAATTCGACCTACAACTGGACATTGTATCATTTCTTTTACCGTTGCCAATAGTCAATGCTTAAACATTCTAAGATTTGAGAAGCTGGATTTGAGGGCAGATTGTCTGTCTACAGGACGATTTATCAGTCTATTTTATGTTATTTTCTCATGTTTAGCTGTGTTAGGCTTAGTTGGGCCATAGACGATCTGTATAATTTCTGTATTTATAACTTTGGTTTCACCCCCCCCCCCAAAAAAAAAAATGGACGCCTGTCGCAGAGAGATGAAAAGGTTCATCTAACACTTGACTGTAGAAGTTGAATGTTAGGCTTAGATTAGTCTGGAACAAGGCTACGAAAATGGTGCCCCTAGTTAAGGGTCAAACACAAGCAATGTTCAAAATGATTAGCCTGCTAAACGTCCTTACGACATCACTTTGTTAATTAATATGATATCTTAAAGTTAGACTAAACATCGTCGTTTAATCTCAGTTCCCTCCCTCATTTATACGGTGTGGGGCCTGAATGATTTCTAGGCCCAACCCTTTTGCCAAAATGACAAAATGAGCAAAAAATCGTTTCATCTCCCTCTTGGTCGAACTGAGAACTGTTCAGCACTGAATCCTAAATAGTCCGTATGCTAATAACGTAAAATGTATATATTTTACACAACAAATTTTTTTCAATATAAACTTCCTCCCTTAATCACATAGATCGAACATCATACAATAGAAATTACAGATCAAGTCAAAATAACTATTAGGCAAAGAATATATTGTTCCATTGATTATTATATATATATATATATATATATATATATATATATATATATATATATATATATATATATATATTTTTAGAGAGAGAGAAAAAGAGAGAGATAGTAATAATCAAGAAAAAAACCCTCAAAGATTCATTTCGGTTATCATTTATTTCGGGACCTAAGATTAGAAATGGCGTCATGACACTTTCCACTGACAAAAAAAATTACATAGATAAAGCTCTTCGTAAAGTGTGGGCTGTACTTGTCAGAAAATTTTTTTGTATCTCCTTGAGGCATGGACTTCCATTCAATTAGTCTACTGCAATCTTTTCCAACCAGTCCTAGGGCTCCAACTACAACAGGGACTGTTGATGTTTTATATGCCACATTTTCGAGATTTCTATTTCAAGGTCCTTGTATTTTGACAACTTTTTGAATATCTTCAAAGATACATTGCAGTCAGCAGGGACTACCATATCAATAAGGAGGCACTTTTTTTTGTTTGTGGTCTTTAATAATATCTCAAGTGGTTGGCCTTGATTGTTCTGTCAGTGTGTATTGTGTAGTCCCATAGAATTGTAACAGGTCCTATCTCCGTAACCGGGTCTGGGTGGTGTTTATACCATTTTCTTTCAGTTTCCTTCCCGTAGAAGTTGCAGATTTTCCAGTGCAGATATTGGCCCACTTTGTCATGTCGGGTTTTATATTCAGTGGGTGCCAACATCGTGCAACCTGATACAAGATGATCAATCGTTTCTGGATATTTATCACAGAATCTGCATTTTGGGCTGACACAATATTTTATTATATGTGCTTGATAATTCCTAGTTAGCAAGCATTGGTCCTGCGCAGCAAGGATAAAACCTTCAGTTTCCGCTTTCAACCCTGCACTACGTAGCCACTGATGAGTACGGGTTTTGTCTACGTCAACTTGTTTGGTACGGGCAGACTATTGGCCATGAAGCGGTTTATCTTGCCATCGCTTCTGTATCTGGTCGGTTGCATTCGTCTTTGCTGTCTTTTTTAGGTATTTTTCAGTTTCAGCCGGTGTATTGTGCTGTAGTTGCATCTCTACGCCCATTTGAAACTCCATTTTGACTTTGTTGGCTTCTTTCATTACGGAGTAAAGACGCTTACTACTGTCATGTTCCTTGACGCATACCATCATCCAGTCTTCTATAGTTTCCAAATATCTTTGGAGGCCAATTGTTGTAGTTTTGTAGGACAGTTCTAGTTGAACTAATCCTCTGCCTCCTTCGGGTCTGGGCACATACAGACGATCAACATCAGCTTTGGGATGATGCATGCGATAGCAAGTGAGAAGATTTCTCGTTTTGGCGTCCATTCGCTTAATTTCAGCTATGGTCCAGTTAAGGACATTAAAGCTGTATTGCACCACAGGGACAGCCAATGTGTTTATGGCTGATATTCTGTTTTCTGAGTTTAGCTCAGTATTTAGTACCAGACGTACACGCCTGTAGTACTCTTTTCTTATTTTTCCTTCATTTGGGGTGTTGTATGCCATCTCCTTCGCTAATTCCTAGGTACTTATAAGCTTCATCATGCTCCAGTTCCTAATCTTTGTGACAAAATCTAAATCTATTAGGGTGTTTCTGTAATTCTACCTTTCTTGAATGTTACTTTTGCACATTTATCTAATCCGAAGTCCATACCTATGTCGTCACTGAAGTATTTTTACAATATTGAGGAGGCCTTTCAACTCATTGTCGTCTTTGGCAAAGAGTTTGAGATCATATTATTATTATTATTCTCCTCTGTAGCTCTCTATGGATTAATATCCTCTTTGGAATTATCCCTACCTGTCACAAATTGCTAATATATATATATATATATATATATATATATATATATATATATATATATATATATATATAGAGAGAGAGAGAGAGAGAGAGAGAGTAAAATTATGGAAAATAAAGCATAATATTTTTTAACCAAAAGGTTTATGGTTTCTCTCTTCTTTTAATATACACACTTTTCTCTCGTTGGAACTACTATAACCTCTTCCTTTTATATATATATATATATATATATATATATATATATAATATAAAAGGCTCAAACACTAATATTGTATGGTTATAATTTATTACATTGTAATCGTAATCACGTATTCATCAGACATACGAATTCAAAAAAAAGAAATCGGAAATATAACTATTTCTTTTTGAATTTGTAGATCTGATGAATTGGATCATGATTACGATTCCAATGTAATATTATATTCTTACTCTGTTTTGGACAATGAGTTCTACCTGGATTCTATCCTCTTGGGAATTTATATATATATATATATATATATATATATATATATATATATATAATGATGAAAAGAAGAAATAACCACGATATTCTACACGTACGCACACGCATGAACACGCGCGTACACAAACATACTAGGAAAAGAAAAAATCAGTCTTGCACTAATGAAAATTACAGAGATAAAAGAAATAATCGAGAAATATAAACTGAGTGCAGAATTAATTTCAACTCGGAACTAATTTCAACTCGGTTTTGCAACAAAAAAAATGAAAGCTGCAGAAAAAATGAATTCTTAATCGTCTTATCTACTAAGGATTTTTAATGCTAAATTAAAAAAAAAATAACACCAACTCATTGCATTTTGTTTAGGAATTCACGGAAATTGATAACTTTCATTTTAAATCGAGTTGAAATTAGTTCCGAGTTGAAATTAGTTCCGGGGTGAAATTAGTTCCGAATTTAAATTAGTTCTATCACTCATATAAGCAGTCAATTGCGGATACTCCTGACGAGTGGACGCAATGATTGCTAGAGGGTCCGTCTACGAAACTCTGGAGTTGGAATGTGACAAACTTTGTATTTGTATTAATTTTCTCTCTCTTTCAATCTCACTCTATATGTGTGTGTGTGAGTGAGTGTGTATGTATGTATGTGTGTGTAACTGACAGTTGTGACTTTATTCTCCTACCGTGTGTTCAATTCCTTTTCGCTAATATAATAGCTCTTGAGAACTGTTTCTACATGTGCTAGAAGTGCTTTGTCATTAAATTATACATATTCGTGCTTTGTTATTAAATATAAGACTTCTGTATTATTATTATTAGTAGTAGTAGTAGCAGTGATATATATATATATATATATATATATATATATGCGGTCAGTTCCTGGTTAGCTTTAAGGGTAATAGTCTTTGCTCCGACTGCTTGAGAAGTTGAGCAGTTTATGGGAGTGTGATTTTTCCAAGAACTCTTCCTCCGCCAAACATTATGGCATGCCAGTAAGAAGATATTTTTATCAAGATAACTGACAATGGGACTGAATATGATTAGAAGTAAATTTATGCCTTTCCCAAGTGAAATTAAATAGTCTCAGCCAGAATTCAATCACACATCACTTTCACTGTCTCATGGCCCTGTGCCAGACTAGGCTAAACTTAAGTGATTATAGCGCTTCACATATTCATTTTTTTATTACCTGTAAATGGCCATGACTTCCTCGGAAAGATAATGGAGTGGTTTTCTGTTGCCTTTTTCACGGTTTGAAATTCAGAGTTTTTTGTCCCCTATTCTGTCTGCCAAGGCTAGTGAGTCCAGTCTACTCTATTTAACGCAGAAGTGTTATGAATAAATGGATTCATGCCTTTGCCAAGGGTATTGATGTGAAGAGAATTTAACAGAGGCTGGAACTTGAACTTGGCTTGCCTATTTCACTTTCGGCACCAATCACCGTTATGCTACCTGCATAACATAAAACTTACCCTAACCCTGACGTTCGATGAATATTCAATTATTTTCAGTAAAATATCGCAAAAAGTCTACTTGTAAAATATCATGAATAATCTTTAATGATTTAATGCAATATACAATGCAACGAATTGAACATGTCTTTTGCTCAGTATCGTAAAGTAGAAAATGAGTCAGGCACGACACCGTGGCCTTTTTAAAGTGTCTTAAATCCGTGAAATAGAGACTTATGTGCGTTACAGACAATAAACAATATGCCATAAAACGGATAAATACGACATGTGGCAATAAAAAAGACACATGAACATAGCTAGAAAATACTATTTGTATATCTATATATGTAAAACAGAGGATGTCAATGTGTCTGCGTGTATGTCTGTGTGATACCTTTTCACTCGAGATCCATCCAAGCAATTTTGATCAAACTTGGCACATACATTATACAATGTAAGAGATAGGTTCTTAGCGTAAAAAATAGATAATTTTCTTAAAAAAATCAATAATCGATAAAGCCGATCAGAAAACGATAAATTCAATTTTTTTCCTCCGATTTAGTTCAAACTCGGTATGTAGGTTACTTACATCATGACGAGCTCAACGATATTTTTATTTTCATTTCTACGCCACTGCACTTAGCGAAAAATCGCGGAAAACGAAAAATCGATTTCGACACAAATTTTAAACTAAAATCTCCCACGATTTTCAAGCAATCTAATACAAACTTCACTCAATTGTAGCCAAAAATAAGTTGTTTGCTTAACAGTCATTTAAATTAATAATTGAGTTCACCCATATATCTCTTATACATCCCTGGCAAATTGAATTTCAAAAACTCCAAAATAATTGTGGTCTGAAGTGGGTCTTCATGTTGCCTGTTTTACCCCTTCATGTCCTCGGCTAACTTCGATTGAATAAATACAGGCTATTTCCGTTATATCACTAACTGCATTAATTCAAAAAGTTTTTAATGAAAGTACTTTAAAGTAATGGAAGAAGATAGACTCGGTTACATCTAAACATGATGCTGTTTTTGCTCTATTCTAATTGAACGCTTTTTCTGATGGGCCAGCTGGGTATGGCTGCTAGTAAAATATATTTTAATCATATCACCCCATGCAAGGCATTGAATCCACTAAGACACAAGGGGTTATTTAGTGTGGAAGAACAGGGAAAAAAAAGAGAAATATTAGACAGCGAGAAGAATAGAAAACTAATCAAGACAGTGGATAGCGATTGACATTACATTTAAATTTTGAAGTTGGCTGGAAGAAACTGTTGAATAGAACTTACGGTTGTATCTAGCCAATTCAACTGGGAATTGATGAGACCTTTCCGCCTATCTAGTACTGCTCTTAGACTCATAAAGTCGAGGTAGAATAGTGAAGAGTTTATCTGAACAATTATCATGAAAGTATTTGTAGAAAAGGTAAAAGGAAGTTCCGTTACGTCGGTGGGAAAGTAACTGAAGCCGAGACGCCAGGTCAGGATCAATAATATTGCTGATTCTTTAGATTTTTTTTTATCAAGAATCACAAAATAAAAAACGGGAGCAACGGAACAGATGTGGAAGCAGTATTCAAAGCATAGACGAAAGGTAAACTTATAAATATGCAAGATAGATTCTGGAGAGAAAAATTGTCGACACAATGATCCGATTTTCTTAGCAGCAGACTCAGCAATGGATTCAATATCGTCTTTCCACTTCATATCACCCGAGAATAACGTAACAAGTCGCAAACAATCCCTTGATAAACGTCAGAAATTTACTAAATCTCATGTGATAAATATTTATGCTCATAAAGCTAGCAAGTTGTGTCCTATCAAATGTTCGAGATAGCTTGAGTATTTATCATCAGTGTTAGATAGAGCCTAAGTAAAAGCCATAATTGTGAATACTGATTTTCAATAACGACTTGCCTTTTATATGTGCAATATCGGTCTCAGACAGTTGTCCTATACTCCTTTTCTTTTACTTGTGCTGAAATAATATTATTAAATCTTATGAGATGTGGACAAATATTTCCAGCGAAAGACCAGGAATATTTGAACGCAACGAATAAGAGCCCTGGCGTGTCTATTAACTTTTCTTTTTTTTTCTTTTTTTTTACAGTGAGATTCACCCTTTACTACAAGGCCCGGGGTTCACTCAATGTAGAGGGTTAAGTTTGGAGATCATTTGTGTGTACAGGAGTGGAATATAAGTGTTAACTCTAGCCTTGAACTGGTTAAGATTGTAGTGATCGGGAAAATATCCTGTTAGAAATCGGTTCCACAGGGAAGTGGTTCGCGGGAAGAAGCTGCTCGAGTGGAACTTACTTCTCACCAATACAATAGAGAGGGGACGTGGGTGGTTTGCTAATATATAAGTGGCATGGCGTGTTCTTGCTGTGACGTTTTGCCCCGGCGGGACCAGTGTCTGTAGTTCGTCCGATACTGTTCGTCGATGAAGTTGATGTTCTTTTCTAGGTGTTCGGCGACCTTCTTATTGATTATGGCCGCAAAAAGATTACAGAAGCTACTGAAGAGACTAATGTGCTTGTACTGGAAGAGGGGATGATCGCACGCCCACGTTCTTGATAACCGGAGATAGCCTTGACACCTCCCACAGGCTTGGCAAGGATTTCTGGTTCAAGTAACGCTTGAATAACTTTGCTAAGATAGGGGATAATTCCGGGTTGATGTTCTTAGGGACAACCACCGGAATTTTGTCTGTATCAATGGTTTTCTTGGGGCAAAGGCCTTTGTTAAGTCTAGAGACTTCTCGTGTTGTGATGGTAATATTACTGAGATTGTGCTCAGTGAGACGTGGGAACTTGGGGAGGGGATGGTCTTTCTCATCTAACGTTGAGTTAGAGGAAAAGATGGAGGCGAAGAGGTTTGCCTCATCTGCTGAGGAAGATATGACCTCGGGCCATTTATAATTGCGAGAACAGCCGCTTTATCTCTGTTCATGATTTGGTTGGTGATCTTCCAGAATTCACCGGATCCATTTTGTTTCTTTTCAAACTTGGACTGGACTGCTCGTGCGTAGCTGAACTTGACGTCTTCTAGAACTTTTTTGCAACGATTGCAGGCAGTTCTGAAGGCATCGAAGGCCGAACTACATCGCTCATTGTGATAGATATTGAAGTAGTGGTTTAGCTGAATTATGGCTGCAGCACATTCAGGAGTGAACCAAGGTTGACTGTTTGGTTTTTGCTGGAATTTTTTTGTTGGGTATAAAACTCTCTATTCCAGAAAGGATCCAATCAGTGACAAGGTCAACAGTTTTAGAGGCAGTATGCTTGAAGAAGGTTGGGAGGGGAGCTTTCATCATGTAGGATCGAAAGCATCCCCAGTCTGCCTTCCTATAGTGAAAAATCGATCCACGGAATGGTACATGTCATAGATTTGGCATTAATCTGGACACTGATTAGGGAATGGTCTGACATGTTTGGTGGAGGTAAATTTTTGGTAATCATTTATCAGGGTAGGAATTTAGGAAGAGGTCAAGGAAGTTCACCGAAGGTCATGGTAAGCTCATAGATGGGGAAGTCTCTGCAATACCTGAGGAGGCTAGAGATGTACGGATGGTCGGTTTTCTCTTTATTTACGTCCCTGCCAGGGGAGAAACTCGTCATTGATGTAGGCTCCTAGTCCGTGACAATTTAGGTGGCTATGTTTGGCTATGAGGGTTGAGTAGCCCGGGACGGAAAATTCCCTTAGTGCGCATGAGGTATTGATACCGGTTTCTATCTATCTATCTAATTCTCCCCACATATTTCTCTCTGTCTCTCAAATTCTGTCTCTATATATATATCATATCTATTTAACCATTTCTGTTTCAATCTCTCTCTCTCTCTCTCTCTATATATATATATATATATATATAATTCTGTCCATATCTATCTATTTATTTATTTGGGATATAAAACACTCTATTCCAGAAAGGATCCAATCAGTGACAAGGTCAACAGTTTTGGAGGCAGTATGTTTGAAGAAGGTTGTGGGGGAGCTTTCATCATTTAGGATCGAAAGCAGCCCCAGTCTGCCTTCGTATAGTGAAAAATCGATCTACAGAACGGTACATCAGGGCATACTATAGATTTGGCATTAATCTGGACACTGATTAGGGAATGGTCTGACATGTTTAGTGGAGGTAAAATTTTGCAAAGCATTTATCAGGGTAAGAATTTAGGAAGACGTCGAGGAGGTTCGCCTGATGTCTCGTCGTGTCCAGGACCCGGTTAGATTCTCTGATGATCATGGTAAACTCATAGGAGATGGAGAAGTCTCTGCAATATCTGCCTTCAACATCGGTTTTGCTGGGGTGGAATAGCCATTCTTTATGATAAATAATTATACATTAATCTTCCACTGTTGGAAGCGATGTTTTGAACAAAATAAGTTGTTGATTCAAAAGGATATCTAAATCTTATCAATTGTGTACCTGAAAATTGAAGGTTGATTCTATCAAATCTTCCCGTGGAATCAAGGTTTGTTTCCGGCGAATTTGGGCAACGATTAAAAACTCTGAAATGGATAAAAAAAAAAATCATTTCAATTTGCAATAAATTTATTTAATAATTTTATTGATAATATAACTAATATTTTCTTAATATGAGAAGTGTAAATGTCTTCAGCAACTTGTAAATTAAGAGGTTCATGACTGGCGTGATCAAAGGAGTCGTCTCTTATATTAAGTAATAATATTATCATTAAAGAAAAAAAAATGTGGCTAGCTAGGGTTACATCGCAAAATGTTGATGTAGATATCGCCAGGAACGTTTCTGTAAAAGTTCAATAAGCATTCGCCCATAGGTACAAGTTTCTTATCTTTTGAGCGTTCAGGACTGTTGTTGAAAGTGAGCAGACGATTTTAAATAAGAAAGTATTTCCATTGTTCATCCATCTCTCTCTCTCTCTCTCTGAATAAAAGATACCACTGTCAAACGAATATCAACGTATAATAGTCCTCCCTTCCCATTTACGTTCCCCCAAATCCCTGCGGACTGTACCGAATATATAGATAGATAGATAGATCTAGTGAGCCAGACTATTTTATATATATATATATATATATATATATATATATATATATATATATATATATATATATATATATATATATATATATATATATATATATATATATATATATATATATATATATATATATATATATATATATATATATATATATATATATATATATATATATATATATTTATATTATATATATATATATATTATATATATATATATATATATATATATATATATATATATATATATATATATATATATATATATATATATATATATATATATATATATATATATATATATATATTATATATATATATATATATATATATATATATATATATATATATATATATATATATATAAATCTATTTAAACTCGGTGGGTGAATTCAAATAAATTGGCATCTGAGGAAAATGTAAAAAAGAAAGCCCCAGAAAACTCCGACGAACAGAGCGAAAGAAATCGTCCCGTGCCTTAAATCTGTGGTACAAAGAAAAAAAAAACAGCGAGTAATAAGTTAAAACAAATACCCTAAGCAGAGCAAAAGTAAAATATATAATTATTATTTATTTTATATATATGTGTGTGTGTGGGTGGGGGGTAAATATATATATATATGTGTGTGTGTGTAAATATATATTTTATATATATATATATGTAAAAGTGAACATTAAGTGAACACTTAGGGCGACAGGCTGTTTTTCATGCTAGACGGAATCGGTCGGTGGCTTGACGATTGGGTCTAGCATGAAACAGCCTGTCGCCTCTAAGTGTTGACTTCAATGTTCACTTTTTCTATTTACACACGCTCTATCCCCTGATATTGAGCACTTTATCCCATAAATTTAGGACACCTTAAGACTATATCTATATATATATATATATATATATATATATATATATATATATGCAAAACAGCCCTATGATGGAGTAAAGCTAGTAATCAAATAATAATAATGAAGAACGTATTACCCAGAGTTATACAATAAAAATGCAACAATAATAACGATAACTAGTAATAATGATGACATCTACTAATAATAAACTGGTCCACTCCCCTAAAAATAGGTACAATTGGGAGGGGGGGGAAAGAATTTTTGTAGATTAAAATTCTTCGGGCCTTCCTTTGCGACACTTAACAGAATCAAAAAATATTGAATGTTTTAAAAGGAGGTCCTCTTCTTGGTGTCGATAAATTTTAAAATCGGTCCTTGACTTTTACAGAGTTTTGGGGCAGCTGTTATTTACATCACTGAATTTTTAAAAGATTTTTTAACCTTTTTCTACTTTTTTAAAATTCTTTTTAAAATTCTTTTGTATGTGATACTCCGGAAACACATGCATAAATATTTGAGGTAAATAATTATTTATCTTAAATGAAAAATAAACAGACGTGTACCTAAACTAATTTATGTATGTTTTTGTTCTTTATTGAAAATCATTTTTTGTAAAAACCACAAAAAAAATATTCTGTCTCCGTGGGTAAAACAGACAATTTCAAAAACTATGAAAAAGTAAAAAATCGATTTAATACTGTTGTTGCTGGTCGGTGTACGCGTTGTGAGATAAACACGCGTGTCTCCTAAAATGCCCACAACAAACATGGTAGACTCAGAATATGAGTCCACCTAAAAAAAATAATGTAAATAAACAACAACAATCGATATATATACAAACAAATAATAATGTATTAACAAACAAATGGTTACAAGTGACAAAGTCAATAATGTATGTAACACATTTGTCAAATGTGAAAACTAGTTTGGTTCAAAGTATATGAAATGAGTGAATGTGCGTACGTACGTGTGTGTGTGTATTGTTCATGCGTTCCCCACGAAGATAAACGCGATCTTCCGCGAGAGATTTACATTGTTGACGTATAAGCGGAAAAGTAAGAAGAGAGAGAAAAAAAAAATTATCGCAGAGTATTTATAGTGTTGGGGAGCGTCCCCTAGGAACAGTTTTGGAAATTAAGAGGAAATGACATGACACTGTGTCGATATTATAAACAAGTCACCCTTTTAAATCGATAAAAAAAAAATTAATATTTTTTAAATAAATGTGTTACACCCTGAGGAAAAATGATATATATTTTATTAATTTATGGATATTTTTGTTCTTTAATTAAAAATGTATCTAGCCTTTGATTTTTCATTTAAAAGAAATCTGCGTGTAAAAAATGTTTTCGTACGCAAAAAACATAAATGTTTCAAAAGTTAGATAACGATTTTAAACTGTATCGATATTATGAGCAGGACCTCTCTTTTAAAATCACTTTGTTTCAACGAAATTTTCTTGTTACTTAATACCTTGTTTAGCATCTCTTTTCCGATTTTCCTTCACATATTCCATCGTCTGTTGAAACACTTCCCAGACAGACAAATTTCTGTATTGTTTCATATTTATATTATTATTATTATAATTATTCATTTTGGCTATTCTTTCAGTTTATTTACGATGTTTGTTTATACCTGGTAGCAGTGTGTACGAAGAAGAGGAATGTGTTATCTTATCTCGAAATCAAGTGTTACTGTTTTATCGCCAATGGATAGGATTTTTGAATTGGCACCCATTTGCCTGAAGAGTAAAAAGAGAACGAATAGATAGAGGAAAACAGTTGAGATCAAGCGATCATAAACATTATTTGTTTTGCATACGTGGCATATTTAATTTAATGAATTTTCATTAACATTACATAATTTATTTCTTTTTCCTTAAAATCAATTCCGTTATATTTCACTCACCATTAGCTTATTTTGTTTACTATAAAAGATTGAAAATAAATGTTAAACCTGATTTCAGTTCTTTTATCTTAATCTAAATATAAGCCCTCATATCCGGACTTTGTAACCAATTCCTCATATCCGGAAGGCCTTCTTGATCTGGTTGTCAGGGATTCTACTGTATATATGATAAATGTTGCACTATGAGGAAGATTGATATACATTTTATTATTGGATATTTTTGTTCTTTAATTAAAAATGTATCTAGCCTTTGATTTTTTCCATTTAAAAGAAATCTGTATGTAAAAAAAAATGTTTTCGTACGCAAAACATAAATGTTTCAAAAGTTACATAGCGATTTTAAACTGTATCGACATTATGAGCAGCATTTCTATTCTAGAATCAATATTTTTGTTTTGACAAATGCCGTGCCCTGAGAAAGGTTTAATGAATGTTAATCTACAAGAATTATGTAAAAAAAAATGTCCCTATTTTTTTATTTGACCAGTCTGTTTAATTAGCGCCAAGAAGAGAGAGTATAAACCCGGAGCATTGTGATAAAAAGCAACAGTAAAACGATGGAGTAATAAAAAAAAGAAATAATTACGTTCTATAAGTTCTTTGATAATGAAATGACTTTGGAGTTCGGCTGCTTCCTTGATATTTTTGATGCGTCCTTTCACGTGGTTTTCTGATTTCGCGCCAAAAGATTTTCGGATGCAAGAATTTCGAAAAGACAAACACTGGCAAATGTGGGTGTGGCTTTTGAATGATCTGAAATTATAAATCAATGGGAATCAATTTCCACTTTCGGTTTATTGATTTCTCACCGGGGTAAAAATTTAGGCAATACAGAGAAAAAGGTATGGATATCCATTTCCTAGTCATACCAAGAGCTACATTTTGAAAACATTGTTGGGCGCGTTTTTTCATCAATTCTGTCCATGCATTTTTTTTCTTTCTTTCTCGGACGGAACATTCCATTTTCTATCTCTTACTCTTTAACTGCCAAGTTAAAAACGAGGCGTCTACTCAAACACGGGTCTCCACTAAAATAACGTAAGAAATAATAACTAAAAGACTATATGCAATATGAAATTTGTTGTTTAAAAGCAGTAAATCGACCTTCCTAACCAGACGCTTCCTTCGTAGCTAAAATGGTATAGTACGTCAGGCTATATGACGGTTCCGACTAGGATACAGGTTCGATTACTGACGGAGGACGCATATTTTCTATGAAATTTCTCGGAGATTCAGGCCGATAAATGTTAATACTGTTTATTATAAACAGAGCATTTACTTAAATATTTGTGTCTATATAAATAACATATAACAATAAAAGTATATTAAAATAATTGTCGTACTTAGTTAGTCCATTTCATTATATATATATATATATAAGTAAACATTGAAGTCTACACTTAGAGGCGACAGTCTGTTTCATGCTAGACGCAATCGTCAGGCCAGGATGGCATGACGATTGCGTCTAGCATGAAACAGCCTGTCGCCTCTAAGTGTTAATTTCAATGTCAACTTTTATATTTACACACGCTCTATCTCTGATATTGAGCACTTTATCCCATAAATATAGCACACCTTAAGACTATATTTCTTCTTCATATATATATATATATATATACAAATTCCCAAAAGGATAGAATCCAAGTAGAACTCAATGTACAGGACAGATTAAGAATATAATACAAAAGGCTCAAACACTAATATTCCATGGTTATAATTTATTACATTGGAATCGTAATCACGATCCAAATCATCAGACCTACAAATTCAAAAAGCTATTTTTATATATATATATATATATATATATATATATATATATATATATATATATATATATATATTGCAGAAAGAAAATCGAAGTGTTAACGGTTTTCATTGAACCCTCATGAGTCTTAGTTTTAATTGAATACAAATGGCCAATGTAAATGGCAGAGTCTTTATCCGTTCCCTATATTTATTGGCAGAATGTGGATCAAATGCCCGACGAGGAATTAACTTGATTGGTTAAATCTCATAAATTGGCTTTCGGCCGTTATTTTAGCTTTAAAGTTTAGCATACAGCAGAAAACTGGAAAAAATCTTCTGACGATGCTACCGGCACTGTTATTTTTTTTTTTTAATGCCAAAGCCGTAAACTGCGAAAATGATAACGTAACATATTCAATGCATACATTTTGACTTTGTTTCAAAGAAATCGAAAAATGCAAACAATATGTTATGATAACAAAATATATACTTACATATTGCTGCTTCGCGTTTTGATTTAATGCCGGTCTCTGAAACAAAAGAATGAAATAAAATGACAAAAAATGAATTAATGACAATTCAGTCAACCGAGAAGCAATTATTATCTATATAAGAGGCTTAGTCTATTAGCAACCCTTTCATTAATTCCTGACCACCGACAATCCTTTTCTTCCTTACTTTTCAATGTAAAATACAATAAAATTATCAATTCGTTTACATAAGGCATACAATAGTGCTATTGTGTCAGTAAGGCTGGCATTAATTCCAAACTGCTCTCGATCCCTTTCTTCCTAACGTTTCAATGCATATCTATTGTAACAATACATTTATATTATACATATACAGGAGTGGAGGAGCTGTGAAAAGTTCACGGCCTAACCAGCAAGAATTCCCTTCAACCATGAAACGTATCCTTCCGCCCCCCCCCTCCCGCTATTGCACATATTCACGTCGTAGTTCATCACACTTGGTAGATAATTTCTCAAAATCAAGTTTTAATCTGTATTCATAAATTTTGATTTCGCGATGATTGTCGTCTGTTGACATCAATTTTAAAAAAAAATTATTTGTTATAAAAGTAAAGTAATCGGAGAAAAATATTCAATTTAATGATTATTTAAATGAATTTTGAAAAAGAATATTTCTTTTGGCTTCAAATTTTGTGAAAAATACATTTGCCTACAGAGGCTGTCAACTAAGCTCAAAGTTTAAGTAAATATTGAACCAGCTTTCCTTAGATTATGAAACCCCGCTTGAATTTACGCGCGCAACATGGGAGAAGCTGAAATAGAATGACTAGAAATACACACCTTCAGTTCCCGCTTTTTTGGCCCTAATACTATATATCTATGGCTTGCTTTATGGATAAGATTGGTGTATACTTCTTACGACCAGTGGTTGGTGAAGGCTTGCATCTAAAATACTTATTTTAAAAGCAAGAAACACTTCAGTACTTAAAAACGGCGCACCACGATCTTGCAACACATATCTCTTTGACCTTGTGTCACACTCGGCTAATCTTAATTCAGGCGAATTTTTGTGAACAAGTTTCGTGTTTCGTGTACTGTCAGTGGTTCTGTCTTCTTGTACGTACATGTATTTGAGTGGAGTGGGTGCCGGCCTGCGCACGCGTGCCCCCAGTTCATATGTACGTGTTCGGGAATTACTCTTTTCTTTTATAGCAAAGTCAATTTGCAAATCAAATTTCACCAAGTCACTGCAAGCTGAATGTGAGACTCTGTAGTCAGATCACAATTTAACTGCTGCTGATATTAGAAAAGGCCCAGATTTTTATGGCCTTACGCGGCAGACATATTTGCATAACTTCACCTCAACTCTGCAAGTTGTTTTCCTCGCTGATTATAAAGCCTTTAAACCGGCTTGAATATTTTTCGCTTCCCACAAGCAATGAAAATTTAAAAGCCATAAATCTGAAACTTTCTTAGCCAAATTCATGCTTATTAAACGCAAGCAAATTTGGCCACCGATGGCGTAATACGAACGTTTTATTGTTTCATTTGAAGAGTTCTTCTCGTTCTTTATTGTGGCATTGACATAATAAATCGCAGATTTGCATTTTGATATTTTTATTGCTATTTTGGTATTTAGTACCAACACATCCATTTTAAAGTTTGCTGTCAATAGGAGTCTGAATCATAAATTATATTTTCAGTGTATTAAAAAGAATAGTTGAATATTTTTTCGTAGAATTTTCATGTTTCTGTTGTTGCATTTAACTAGAAATAGGTTGGGATATAAAAAGAAAGTATCAATAATGTTCTAAAATTCATATTAATAATAGTGAGAATGCTTCATCTAATAATTCTAAAAATTAACTGAAAGCAACAAGGAAGTAAAAAAAAAACATGGCGCAGAACAACATCGAATTTATAGTTAGATTGGATAAGACAACGTTCATGAAAAACTGATTCTCAAAGGGTGTGATGCAAATTTTAGTCTCGTCAAAAGCTACTTTATATCCTGTTTTGCGCTGTTCTTAGTGACAAAATAAAAAGACAATAATAATATGGAGTAAAACTAGTAATAAAATAGTAATAATGAAAATACTTTGCGAATTTAAAAATATTACGTAGCAAAAATAAAGATGGAATAGACAAAGAAAGAGAAAAAAGAACCACTACAACTTTTTACCTTGTTTAATAATCGATTATTCTTAACTTTAGTTATTAATGTGACGCTTATAATGACGTGGGATTTAGGGGTTAAAAAAAATGAACAGTTGTTTTACCTACGCCAGGAAGGTTATTGGGGAGAGATTAGGATGAGGAATCATACTTGAAGTGTCAGTAGCCCGTTTCAGTAATGTAAATCACAAATTTTTAAAGTTCGAATTGTCATGAAGAGAAAATGTCCATTTGACAGATTAAATCACCTGACACTAAATAATATTAAAAAATGTTTAAAACAAAGGTAAGAGAGTTTGTTGTTTTGCATATGTTCAAAAGTAAACAAAGAGAGATAGTTTGAAATACTAAGCTTTCTTGGATTGTTGAAATAAATTTCTTTAAAATGCCAAATGCTTGGTTAAGGCCGATAATATAATTAGCGAGTAATTTGACGCTGGCGAAACGCTGGACGCGTGAACAGAAATTAAACTTTTCACACGACTTCAGACTCTTTTCTCCTGATTTTTTTTCCTTATTTTATATCAAAAAAGGATTTCGCATAGGATAGGTATTTTCTTTTCTTTTTTGTTTCAGGTTCAACGGCCAATTCATATGAAAACAGGGTTTTGATTTTTTTTTGGGGGGGGGGTTTCTGTTTTTTTTTTTTTTTTTTTGGTGGGGGCCCAAAGAATTTGTTTTCGTTTTTTTTTTCTCAGCCCGCCGGCCAATTTCTGTGAAGTCAAAGTTTTCATTGGTTCAAAGAAAATTTCACACAAGCTTTTAAAATTTCTTTGTCTTTTTCCTCAGCTTGCCCAAATTTGAAGGGAGTGGGTAAAGGGCGTTATTATTTTGTACTCACCACATCACTTCCCTTTCCAGATTTGATGGAGTTCTTTAGTACATTTTAATATTAGTGCTATGTATTGTCTCTTTTCCAAGTAACCAATCTACCAGACTTAGTTCTTGTGTTTTGTCTCCTTAATCCTGTTGATATTTAGTGAGGTATCTCTTTGTGCTGGTATTGCTATATCAATATTAGGTATTTTCATTGTTTCTGAGACAACTGCTGGTTTTAATCTATGAAATCATTGCTATTCATGTTTTCTACAGTTGTTATAGTAAAGTACTTATTGTTGTGGTTGTCTACTTCATATGGACTTATGTACGGTGCTTCCAGATATTTCTGAATTTTGTCAGACCTAAGCCATACAAATTTACAATTGTTTAGGCTCTTTGGGATATAGGATTTTGATGATGAATGTGTTCGTTGGACTGATTCTCCATGTCAGTTTTTCGCATTTCATTCACCGGGTCTTTTATTGACAGGTTTGATGCTTCACCGTTACCCTTGCCACACGGATCTATTAATGGTCTCGGAACTTGTGCATTACTCCACACGTTTATAAGAGATAGGCTCCTGAGGTTTGAGAGATGAGTTTAATTGTGGGTAGCTACTATACCATTTCAAATTTTGAAGCTGTTTTTTTTCTAGCAGTCGAAGAGTGTATCGTTACGCTGTGTTGCGATAAATAGCAACAGTAATAATACAGAAAGAAAGCTAGAAATAAATTTATATAAGTATTTTATGATATATCTGGAGTAGTCATCATCATCATCATCATCATCCCCTTGACTTTTGTAATCGTAGTGCGGATCCAAATGCAGAGGCCACACTAACACTTTTCCCCAACGGTCTATCAAAGGCAGCCATCATCAATTCTGGATACCTGTCCATTGTTTGACATTGTCCAACCAGTTTTGTGTTGGCGCCCTGTCCTACGTCCACCTTCAACGGTGCCTTGCATGATGGTCTTCCACAGGCTGTCGTGCCTTGTAATGTGTCCAAACCACGCCATTTTACTTCGTTTGACAGTGGCAAGAAGAGGTTCCTGTTGTCCCACAAAACTTTCAATCCTTTTCCGCACAAACTCATTGGTTTTTTTGTTCCCAATAGAAAATGCCAAAGAGTTTTCTTATGTATTTATTCTCAAACGCTTGGATCCTTCTCTCTGTATCTGCCAACAGTGTCCACGTTTCACATCCATATAGGAGAATGGAGACTACCAGCGATTTGTACAGTCTGGAGAGTAGTTTAATAAATAAAAGAAAAATATGTACCTCGACTGATTCACTGATGAAAAAGCTTAATAAAAACAAAATCTTTAACCTATCATTAAGTGGAAAGACCAAAGGATTTTTTTTTTTAATTATTAAATTGTATTTTTTTTATCCTTTTTTAGAAATTGTTCGAAATTTTAGTTAAGAATCTTGTTTTATTTTGTATCAGCGCGGGGTGGGGGTTGCAAACATTAGTATAGGAAATTTTAGCGTTTTTTGCAGTGAAAAACATTCTTGCAAAAATAAAATAATTGTCGGATTTTAATTAAACTTTTAGGATTTATTCACAAATGAATGAAATTATTTTAGAATTTTTTAAAGTGTTGGTAAAAGTATATTTTTTATAATCTGTTACTCTTCACTTGTATAATTTTATGAAATTTCGAGAAATGAAATTTAATGTTTATATTAGTTAAAAGCAGAACACCTTAGAGAGTTTAAATCATCAATTTCTTTTTGTAAAACAGGATCACCAGTTACTGAAAATCTGTTCTAAATCGTAAAATAAAAATGCAATAAAATTAAGACATTGGTTAATTAGAAAAAGCTTTTAATTGCTTTTATGAATAAGATATATTATGATAAAGGAAATTTCTATGAATAATGTATTTTTATAAAATTGTTTTTCATTTTTTTAAATTTTAATTAGAATAATGTATAAAGTTGTAAATCTTTCAAAATGTTGTCTTAATTTGTAGAGGTTAGGTGATATTGTTATTAAGTAAAATAACTATATTTACTATTCATAAATTGAAAAGCTTATTACAATTTAGCAACGACAATATTTTTAAAAGAATTTTGATTTTTTTTACATATTCATAAACGTGCTGAATTTTGTAAATACGGACGTCCATACAACGACATTATCAGAAAATAACAGCAATAACTATAATAAATTTAAAATCAAAGTACCTAAACTTCAACAAAACATTGGATTACGAAGAATATTTGCCTAAATCTTTAAGATTACTTGGTAATTAAAAATTATACTAAAAAAACATTCACGTTATATTCCTTAAGTAATTTTTACGGATATATCCACCGTAGGGAAAAAATATTTAAACTTCCGTCTGTCAATTAAGCTGTCAACACCTTAAATAAACACCTACCGCCGTGTTAAAAATTGCATTTCTGCGATATCAAACTTAAAGTACGTAATATTTGTTTCAAATCAAATTAACTAAACTTTAAATCAGCTAATATTCCTCAAACAAAGTTTCAGAAATGTATATTTTATTTTTGAAAGATGTTTTAATAAAGAGAATTACATCGTGATGACGGATTACTAAAATCGCTGATTTTAGCGCCTTTTTTAACCAAAGGCTCTAAAATCAGCGATTTTAGTAATTTCAAAACGATGACCCCCTTCCAGTCAATTTAAATTAGTTTTGAAATGCAGGAAAGTATTTTGATTATTGTAAATATTAATCTACTAACTTGAAATTAAAACTAAAATAAAAGCCTCAAGAAAGATTTTTCATCTTTAAAAATTAATTTTAAACTTTAGATATCGCGTTTCTGTGACGGTGCTTAAATAAAAATATTTCTTAAATCTCGTGAAAAGGATATTCTACTTATCATCTCATTAACATTAAAATCGTCATTTTTAAGGACAGGTCAATAAGCTATCTTCGTTTCTGAAACCAGGTACTGGGATAAGCGAAATAAAAGATCGAAGATCGAGTACAAAAGCGAGGAAAATCCCCACAAACACTCACCACACTCTTCGACCAACCTCAATATAAATCCAGGAAATAGAGAGTTTCGATATCAGTCCTCTCTACTCTTTCACCAGAAAGATCCACTCCGCTAACCAGTAATTAACTAAGCGGTAGGACTGCCTAGTACAAAGGGGGGTCTTTCTAACTCTCTATCTCTCTCTCTCGTTTTCTGTGCCTGCTACCAAGAAGGATCTCTCTCTTTCTCTCTCTCTCTCTCTGCCCGCTACAAAGAAGGGGTCTCTCTGTTTCTGTGGCTACTACAAAAAAAGGTCTGTGTGTGTGTATGCGTGTGCTACAAAGAAAGGGTCTCTCTCTCTCTGAGGCTACTACAAAGAGAGAGGAGTCTCTCTCTCTCCACCTGTTACAAAGAAGGTGGTCTCTCTCTCTCTCTCTCTCTCTCTCTCTCTCTCTATGTCTCTTTCTCTGTGGCTACTACATAGAATGGGGTCTCTCTTTGTCTATTCACGTACTGCGAGCTACTCTGTTTCACGAGAACTGATACAATTTGTAATCATAAAAAAGAAAATAAACCTTCCAAGACAACGTTCGCTCGGCTTCCATTCTTTTTTAATGTAAAAACCAACATCCTGTGTCAAAATCCACATATCTCATTTTTAAAACATGCGAAGTTGATGTATCTTAGTAATATTTATCCAGACGTAAAGTCTCTTATTGCATCGAATTGCAACACGTATACGCCTTGAACAATAAATTAGAAATTACCAAAACGTATTAAGTAAGTCAGTTTTTGTGCGTGGGTTAAGTGTGTCATTGGTTAATCGAAGCATACACTTATTGGAGATTTAAAGAATATAATTACGTCTGCCACTGGAGGTCCTGTATTCAACCATGTCTGCTTATCTCTTTGTGTGGGTCTTTTTATCCACAACACGCACAAGTTATCGGTGGTCGATGAATTTCAATGGCATTTTGTAGAATGAAATTTGGGAAAGAATCTAAAATGGTTTCGATTTATTCATTTACACACACACACACATATATATATATATATATATATATATATATATATATATATATATATATATATATATAATATATCGTAAAGACTTGAGGGCTTCATCCTGATCAACTAACCGAATATGACCTACTTTAAATCCAAACTAAGCGAAAAAGAAAAAAATTAGAAATTATTATCGTAGAATGCGTTATGACCAGGAGTTGATGCCAACTCCAGGTTATGACACATTTCATTTAGACGTAGGTCATATCCGATTGTTTGATCAGGGTAAAGCCATCAAGACTTTAAAAAAAAAAAAAAAGAATGTATTTTACTTTTGAAACCAAAATTAATCGTTCACTCGCCAGTAATTTACAATCGCCATAGGAGACGTATTGTTATGCGTTGAAACATAACTGCAATTGTGTAGCGATTCTTTCATGTTTTTGCTGTAAAATCCTAAAATAAATAAATATACATAGATACATATATATATATATATATATATATATATATATATATATATATAGGTGAACACTGAGGTCAACATCAAATGGCTACAATGTTTTATGCTTGAACTCAATCTTCATGGCCTGAAGATAGTGTTCAAGCATGAAACAGACTGTCAGTAATCGGTTTTGATCTCGGTATTCATTTGTATATTTGCATACGGTGTATCTTATATATAACATAGCGTAAAACTATATTTTTGTTACACACACTCACACACACACACACACGCATATATACATACATATATATACACACACACATGTACACAAACATATATATATATTTACACACACATACATGTATATTGACGCACATATACACACACCCATATATATATATACATATAGATATATATACACGCAGTCACACACACACACACACATATATATATATACATATAGATATATATACACGCAGTCACACACACACACACATATATATATATATATATATATATATATATATATATATATATATATATATGATAAAAAATATTGTTTTAAATCGGCGGTAGAAAGGAGAAGCGTTTTTGGCTTTCATCGGTAATTGACCGCGGGCAGGTTCTGTCTGGGATCTGAACAAAAGAAAAACTAAAAGCCGACGACGAAAAGAAAGAAACTGAAAAATAAAAAAATAAAAAAATAAGAGGAAAAGAAAGAAGCTGAAAAGGAAGCAGAAGAGAGAAAATTCTGCTAATTTTGAGAGATAAACGATTATCTTTCTATAGTTTTTTTGTGAAAAAAATTAGAGGGATTTAGCCTGATTTTGGAAATTTTAAGAAAATACATGATTTTTCTCATCTCATTTTGTAAAACTGAAGAAATGTCTAACTAAACCAGTGGTTCCAAAGCGGTGCGACGAACTTCATAGGTGCGGCGGAAAAGGATAGCAGGTGAGGCGGAAGTGGATAGCAGGTGAGGCGGAAGAGGATAGCAGGTGAGGCGGAATTATTGAAAAACAAAGATTTAGAAACAGTTTCAAAAAATTCATATGCCAAAAATAAATATGGTTTCAAAATTTAAAATATTATTATGGATTACTTGTAATTGCATGCATGAGTCCCAGTATAAATAGTTATAAATAATTATTGACCGATTTTATCATTGTGATATTTTTGTATCATATCAAGTATTAACAATATAGTAAATAGAGTCCGCAAATTGGAGGAGAGAGTTATCAGTGATAATGTTCTTTCTTCGAATCCGCTGTTATCGCCCTTTAACTTTCTTTCCGTTTCTTCCTTTTTTTTTTTTTTTTGTTTTAATTTTTAAATGCACTTTTCATCGCATAAAATTTGAAGAGGGTCGAGCAAATTTTCATTCAGAAAAAAACGTTTGGGAACCACTGAACTAAACGTCTGTGACTCATCAACCTTCTTAATTCATTTCGACAGTTGAATCAATCGAAGTGAACATTTTTGTTGATAATAATTATAATTGTTTTATGGGCTCTACAGAATTGTAATTAAAAGTTATTATCTTGCTTAATTGTGTGGCGCACAAAAGTTGTTTTTTTTTCTATTGTATAAGCTTTATTTACATTATTCGGACTATTGTCCTCATCTTTGTCGCCATATTTATTACAACGTTTCTGTCCGGGTATTGAAGTCACACACTTTGGGTCCTGTCACTGGATCTAACTAACGCCTTTATCCACTGTGCCATGTGTCCTTAAGGCAGTGAAGACGTTTCAGAGGGAAATTAACAGGAGATAACTGATAACTGACATCCATTAGACATGGCACGTGGAACTAGAACAGTCTACTCCAGTGAGCGAAATAAAGGGTTCAGTTCGACATTCCAAACACCTGAAGAAGGCCGGAGCATACAACGGCCGAAACGTTGTAATAAATATGGCGACAAAGATGAGGACAATAGTCCGAATAATATAAATAATGTACATAATACCTCATCTCAGAAATATAGATAGATATTGTATAAGCTTGTTTTGCAAATATTGTTTCCTATGAATTATTATTATTTATGTCACTTAATAAATGTCAATTTCTTTCAAATTTCACACCGAAATAAGAGTTTTGAGGTTTGTTTGTTTTTGGGGGGTTTTTTTTCTGCACCATTCATAATAGACGGGATAAGAAATTTGCCGTTCTCTATTTTCCTCCGCGACCCACTCAATAACAGTTGAATAAATTGTAAAGTAAGCAAAATCTTCTTTTACAAGTGTTTATTCAGTTGTTTGTTAAAGAGTCAATTCAAGGGGAATAATTCGTTTATATAACAATTAATGTCAGGGCTGTCGTAGAGAATTTAGCCTTAAGTTATCAAAGGCCGACAACATGATTAGCGGCAAAAACATTTAAAATTTCTAGTAGCTCCTTGCTTTGATAGATTTTTTTATTGTATTTTGTTAAAATAAGACCCTGTAAAAAATACTGCATTTGGTAACAACCCCCCCCACACACACACACACACATAAACACAAACACAATGCCGGCTGCAAAACAAAACCAGTGGTAGTTAGTAAATATCAAATAATTTGACTAAGCCTTTTTACTTACGTGAGCCATGTATGTGAAAACATGGTTTAGAAATGTCTCATAGCCGTCCGGTTGTTTCCTCGCAAAATGTCTCTTACACAGTTCGCACATATCTTCTCCCGGGGGACATCGGTGAGTATTGGCATATGACTTGTTAACCGCTGCAATATTTGTTTGCGAATAATCGACGCCCCGAAGAGGAAGGCTACACGTTTTAGGACGTCGCTCTTCGGGCAAGCGAGAGAGAGAAACGCTCGCCGAATTTGAAGAAACAATCACTGGTCGTTGTTTGACATAATTATCCAGGTAGTACGGTAATATTCTTCTGTGTATAGAAGGTTTTAATGTCTGAGTCACAACATTTTCCGTTGCCTCTGCGGGCATTTTTCTGGGTGATGTTCAAGATACGCCACGTGTTCACTCTTTTGTTATAGAAAGGATAGAATGCTTGATTTCATATAAAAAGTTAAAAACCCTTAGTGTTGGGTTATGTGGTTTCTATAGAAGATCGGATCAAGATGAGACATTTGAAAAAAAAAAAAAAAAAGATCGTAAGTGATCTAAAACATGTACTGTTGATTACATCTCTTAAAATTAAAGTTCACAGCGCTTTTTTTCGAGACTACATACTAAATACACAATTTCTATGCTGAAAAAATTTACACAGTCCGATGTGTATTCATTTGATTGATTTGATTTTTATGACTTATCAACCTTTTCAGGTTAGGCAAAACCAAAAAATATTTTTAGATTATAATTTTTTTTTTTTGAGATAATAATGATTTACTGGTACAAGTCCTACTAATTAGTCCATTGATGGGAGGATAAGATGTGGATTCATGCCTTTCCGGAGACTATTTGCACATATGTGAATATAACGAACTCGACTGGAACTGAAACTTCACTCTCCAATTTCCAATTCCGATCCGATATCCATTACAGCACCTGATATTCTCAAGCAGTCACCCATCTAAGTACTGGCCAGGCTCGACGCTGCTTACTTTTGCCGTAAGTCTGTGTAACTGTTGGAACTTCTGATTCAGAAAATATATTGGGATACAAAAATCTATATCTATCTATCGAAATATATACAGAGCCTATGTACTTCTTAAAGTATATATAGTGATTTTCCAAGCGTAGCTTAGAGGTGGCACTAAGCCTAACGTGTGGGGCACCCGGTGTGGATCCAACTCACTATTCAGTCGTAATTGTTCTAGCGAGACAACCTAGCTAACCATTTTACACCGCCTCGAGATGGCCAAAGTGATTTTCAAAACGTAGCTTAGATGTGGCACAAGGCCGAAAGTAGGAGGCACCCAGTGAGGACCGGACTCACTACTCAGTCGTAATTGTTCTAGCGAGACAAGCTTGCTAACCATTACACCGTCACGAGGTGCCCTTCATAAAGTATATATATGTATATATAAGGTAGACATATATATATATATATATCAAATAAAGTGATAAAGTTTAGATATATATATTAAATAAAGAGAGGAATTACGAACCGAATAATTATAGAATAGTAAGATATTATTGCATCATATCTTTTAAATATGATCTATATCCGGCGAACCGAATTCAAATTCAGACTGACCTTGTTTAAGTTCACTTCGCCCTAATGCTCATTAAAAAGACTTAAAAGCTCTTCTCTCTCTAGATATCTTGATACAATATCCATGTCTGCAATTCTGGTTGACAAAAGAAAGACTGGGTAAATGAAATGCCCAAACATTAGCAACCAAAATATCTTATTCATATAGTAAGCTTTGATCAATAAGACTATACGCTTGAATGGATTAAGCTGTCCAACTGTCGGTTTGCAATCTGTTTAACTAAATATTTCGTTGACAATCCAATGGAGTTGAATCAAAGTGTCAGATATCTTGGTTGCATAACTCTTGACTAAATATCCATTGACTGGATTTTGTTTCTTGGATAAATGCTGTCATTTGAATTGCTGTTGTTGAGTGAAAATGAACGCCGCGTTGACAGTTTAAATTTCACGGCGTCATCGAGAACAAAACAGAAGAAACCCTGGCAAGCAGTGCGCAGTTCAAGGAAAGGGAGGCCCGCATTATTCATCCGCCATTTTAACTGCAAAAGAACTAAAAGAAACGTAATGGTTATCGAAGCGGAGAGTGAAATCGGTAAACTGAGTTAAAATTTCGGCCTCATCTACTCATCTCTATTTCTTATTAAATAGCAGGATAGACTGAGTTCTCTAACTTTGGATGGCAGACAGTCTAGTATAATGGTTCTCGAACTTTTTTTTCTCTGGCCCGCAATTCAGAATGAAAATTTGCTCGTGCCTCACCAAATTTTATGTGATAAAAAGTACATTTAAAAATAAAAAACAGAGAGAGGGTTAAAAGGAGATAACCGTGGATTCTAAGTCAGTACATTATCATTGATAAATCTCTCCTCCAATTTGCGGACCCAAATTACTATATTTTTAATACTCGATATGAGGCAAAAAAATCACAATGATAAAATCGATCAATAATTATTTATAACTATTTATACTGGAATTCATGTATGCAGTCACAAGTCATCCATAATAATATTCTAAATTTTGAAATCATATTTATTTTAGGATATAACTGAGACATCCGGAAAAGGCAGGGCACTTGGAACTGGAACAATCTACCCCGGTGGACGAAATAAAGGATGCGGTTCGGAATTCCAATCACCTGAAGAAGGCCCGAGCGTACAACGGCCGAAACGTTGTGAATATGGCAATGAATATGAGGATAACGGTCCGAGTAATGTAAATAATGCAAATAATCATAATACCTCATCTCAGAGATCCAATCACCTGAAGAAGGCCCGAGTGTACAACGGCCGAAACGTTGTGAATATGGCAATGAAGATGAGGATAACGGTCCGAGTAATGTTAATAATGCAAATAATCATAATACCTCGTCTCAGAGATATAAACAGACGCTGATAGCCAATTTCGACACTGTCAGACAACTCGCACATCCTCAAAATAAAAGGCAAAGACAAATATAATGAAATAAATGCCCAGTTGAAAATTGATTCTATTTGTTTATACGATTTTCTACATAGGATCTAGAATGTAGGATCTGTCTGATGTCCAGCTCTTCTGAGATGGAATCCTGTGTTTTCTGACCGAGAAATTTCCATAGTAATAATACGCGATAAAGGACTTGGAAAATGGCGAGGCAGAAAAGAGTGAAAAAAAGGATGTGGAAAAGTAGGAAGTAAAAATAGCAGATGAAAGGGAAAATAGATATACATGGAGATGGATTGGCGACTAAATACAGAGATAGGCTTGCTGACTGGATATCAAGTGAAAGATTGAAAATGTAGAAATTGCGAAACATTAAAATTATAGAGAAATAGATCAAAAGAAAAAAGAGAGGGAGAGGAACAGACGAGAAAATATTTTTTATAGTCCTTATTCCGTTTTTACAATATCTGTATTTGTATAACATTTCGATGAACGCGCAAAGAAGATTGGAAAGGGTAAGGAAGAGAATGAGAAGATACAGACAATGGGCGAGAAAAGAACAAAGGCAGGAGAAAACATAATCTTAGAATTTCCACGGGTCCAGCTAGTATGAAATAAATAAATACGTAAGGCAAGAGATAAAATTCTAAAAACAAAAAATGTCAATGCTTGGAAAGCGAAAAACATCAGTTGTTTTCAAAAACGCTTTTAAAAATTTTTCGCGGAAATTTTGGTGAGTCACTTTCGGATACACAGAATTCTCATACTTCCTCATTACTAGATATATTAGTAATATTAGAGGACAGTAGCAGCAGCAATTAGCCGAGCAATTCTAAAGAGGTTGAAGAACGTCATCGTGGTAGAGATTAACAGATTACATCAGTTATAATTGGAGACAGAATATTATAGCTATAACGGATTATTGCTGCTATGTTTCATGGGGGGGGGCAAATTTTAAAGATGTTCGTAAGGGAAGTGGTAATTAACTGTAGAACAATATAGTAAAAATCTTTCGGTTTTTATTCGTAACACGTTGGTGACAAAAGTCTGGAATGTAAATCACTAAATATTTCAACGAAAAATCATGAGAAATTTCTTTGTTGAGAAGATCAATCAGACTTTGAACAAGTCCATTAACGGGTACATTTCGAGTATTTACTCAAAGTTTAAAACCATAAAAGCAATGGCACTGTATGGTTTTCTTCTTAATTAAATATTCGAACTATGTTAACAGGGTTAACTGAAACATTCCCTTTTTATACGGTTATTTGATACTCTTTTTTTATACTGATATTTTATACGGTTACACATAGAGACTGTTGTTGAGTCGGTGTGGCGCCCAGTTACTGAATTCTGGTCACGGTCGATTTTTTAAAGTTCTCACCCAAGATGTTACAGGTAGATTTCTTGCTACTTCGTCTACGTGGAAGTGAGATAACAAAATATTTTCTCCTGTAATATGAAGTCTAAACATACGTACATTTTAAGCCTGTAATTTCAGCAGCGCATGCGCAGTGCGTATAAATATTTATTGTGTATGCATATCTTGCATTTCTGACCATCTCAACACGTTATATTACCTTACACGCACAGTCTTATGTTTTTGTTTTGTTTTATTTTTAATCTTTGTCTCCAACAAGGCAATAAAGCCACTAAGGTGCAAGGGGGTTACTGAGTGTGAGAGAATATAAGAAAAACATTAAGTATCTGACATATTCTTTCTACAATTATTCATTATCTTGCAGAATTTATAACGTTAGATTGTATATGCGTTTGTTTTATAGTCTTTTGTAAACATTTATTAAGTCTGTTTTCTGTTCCATTTTTTTTTCAATAAATAAATCTCTTAATTACATGTTGTCATCACCGTCCTTAATTGAGTGAAAGATTTTATTCCGACTTCCAAAGATTTATACATCAGTTAAGAATGACGTAGACTTTGCAGGCTTATGTATATATGAAAAGTGTATACAGAAAATGACTGTAATCAGTTTGTACAGTAACCAGACTATACTGCATAAGGTTGTTAGTTCCAGACCATACAGGAATTACAAAAAACATCCCCTCCAGAAATGTATGCACAAAAAAATACAGATGCATTCTGGTATAACGTGATGAAAAAATATACGTGTTAAAATCGTGTTTCTTAAATTGACACGTTGTGAACACCCGTTTATGAAAGAAAGGGGCATTTCATATTTACTTGTTTGAAGCGCCTCCTGGGCACCAATGTAACGAGAGAAGAGCTAGGGAAGAAAGATTTATTCCTTCCTCCTCCTCCTCCTCCTTCTCCCCCCCCCAAAAAAAAAACTTATTTACATTTCTCTCGTTATGGGCATTGTGAGATCCGCGATATCATAACACCGGACAGGACAGAACGGAATGGCTGAAAGGAAAAAGAATGACA